GTTTCTGTTCTTTGAAAATGTATGAACCAAATTGGACTGAGTCAGAGAGCAGTACTTCAAAAAGAATGGGGTAATACAGAAAGTAGAGCATTCAAAAATAGAACATGACTGAACATACTGTATTATATTGATTCATCTCATGCTGCAGAATATTACTACATACTGTGGGTGGGCCATGTCTCGGTATTTGAAATATATCAATATATTTTTTAAGCACGAAATGGATTCTGACATATCCTATATGTCGGCTGATTTTGCCACTTTGCTTACCTTCTTTGCCATCACCCCTGCGCGGCCCCGCCTCCTTGATTTTGTGACCCCTCCCCTCACAAGTTGTCTCATTCACTACTCACAACTGCTGTGAATGATGAAAGCTTCTAGCACCACGAGCCTTTTCACCATTTACAGACTCACCATCAGCAGCACATCCTCTGTCACAGAGAGAACACTCATATTCCACTGAGTCCTTTAGTCCGAAAGAAGTTGAAGCACATCAGTGGCACAAGGAGCGAGCTGTTTTTTTCAGCACTTATAGTTTAGGGTTAGCACTGATAGTTTATGCAAATAAGCCATGCGGTTTTAAATTTTGTTTCTGTAAAACAGCTGCATTAAACACATTATTATATTAAACGGGTTGATGTGGCTCTGTAAATAATGTAAAGTTTATTTATGCAGAAGATTTTAATGAATAATCTGCTGTAGTGTAACTTGTACAACAGTGTTTGGAAATGTTGGGTTTGATCTGCAGTGGATTGTGGGAAACCTCACAGCTCCTTACTGCTGGTTTGGGACATGGATCTGTTAAAATAAGGAACTTCCCGAGTTTCCTCTGCTAAAGGAGCTCATGGTTATGGTACACTTAACAGTTGAGTTAATGCAAAGATGATGAGCTTGAGCTGAGTTGTTTTATTTTTGAAAGAAAAGAAGGATATATATATATTATTTCTTCCTTTATTTTACTGTGAAATTCTTATTTTAGTATACAGGTATATCTATCTAACGATCTATCTATCAATCATATATATATATATATATATATATATATATATATATATATATATATATATATATATATATATATATATTATATATAAAAATTATAATTTGGGTCATTCAGTGCATGCTCGTTGGGTCGCCCTTCTGACGCAATCCAGCCGATCCGGCTATTATTTTAGTATACAGGGATTTTTATATCTATCTATCTATATATATTAGTAAAATAATAGCCGGATCGTCTGGATTGCTTCAGTAGGGTGACCCAACGAGCATGCACTGAACGACCCAAATTATCTTTATGAAGACTAAACGTTTACACGATCAAGGAATACATTAATTTGGCTTCAAAATCGGAATAAAGCACCAATTTACTCCAGAATTAAGTTTTAAGTTTAATTCTGAATAATCATTTTCATCAGGAATTGAGTGTTTACATGGTCTTTTTTAAAGCAGAATTATTTTTTTATTCAGAATTAAATTATTTTTATTCAGAATTAAAGCTCTGCTGTAAACATATGACATTAAACAGCGCTACCTTACACTTATTCAATTACAGGTAGTTTTATAGTTTAAAATTCCCAAGAAATTCTGGTTTTCTTCTCCACAGATGTGACTTGTAACATAATCTGGTTTGATCTCCATGAAGATGGAAAATTTTAACGCCATACTGTGAAACATTCCAGACAAAGCAACAACATCTCCATAAAGAAAAGCATTTGACGGACCCTCCAACCAGAAAAAAATACACAATACATCTTTAAGTACTCTACAAATAACAGAATTAGGATTAGTTGGTCTGGGTTTTCCACGGTAAAACGCATCTCCATTTTGCGTAATGCACTTACAAAGCCCCTGCTCCCTCTCCTCTCTGTGTGTCTGAAATGTAAATGTACACAGAGCCTCCAGGTGAAGTCGGATAATTCGCGCCAGGTCACAGCCGAGTCTTTGCCAAACGACAAATGTAACTGCAGATTATAGCAGCTGAAGCTAATTAGCATTAGCGCTAAGGGAGCTGTGTCCAAAGGCGAGACGAGGCTTGGCTGTCTGAGAAACGGGCCCCGCGTAGAAAAATGGCCTTAAAAAACTCTATCTCTTCGGCACTAATGAGTCCTAAATTTGCCTTTAGCCAATCAAATTAAGTGACCTGAAAACAAGCGGAAATGTGTAATCACCATTTGAGAAACAACATGCAGACTGCGCTTTCTAATTGTTGTCTTAAAGTATTATTAGTTTAGCCATGCACTTAGGCTTTTCAAGATGTATGGGGTAAGCTCGTACATTTAGCAGCGCACAGAGGAGAACGTTTTAATTGAATTTCTTTGTAGCAAAAGGAAAACAACAATCGGACGCTGGTAACTTACTGAAATTGTCCAACGTCTAATCTCTCTATCTATGGCTTTCACAATGATGTTGCCATAGCGATTGACAATTTAAAAAGTAAATACTGTATCTTCTGAATGGGAAAAAGTCCTCAAATTGCAGCATGGAGAGCGTAACTTTTTAATTAAATTTCTTTGTAGGAAAAAGGAAAAACAACATTGGACACTGGTAACTTAGTGAAAATACCTAAAATGATCAGGATCAACATAGTGCTGTCGCGATAACCGCAAAAATGAATCACCGCGGTACTAAGAGGCCCAACATCCACTGCGATCACCACACATGACCAATGTGACCCGACCCAGAGTCCTGCACAGGTCCAGTTTTAGAGACAACGGTTAGGGTTAGGGTTAGGGATACATAGGTCACACGCCCGGACCCGTTAACATACCACCCGTTACCGTGCCCGTGATAACCAAGGACTAACCCAGGACTAAACCAGGACTAAACCAGCACTAAACCAGGTCTAAATCAGGACTAACCCAAGACTAAGGTGCGCCCACGTAGACTGTCGGGTGACAGCAGGTGAGTTAAGTGCGCGCCGCCCGATTGAGCTTTGCGGACACCTGCTCAATGTGCTCGTGCTAGGGGTTCTCTCTCTTAAGTCCGCGGGTACCCGACCCGGGGCAGGACTCTGACCCGACCTGGTGCAGGACTCTGACCTGAGCTGCCACAGTGAGAACTGGAGAGATGCAACGACACTTGTTCCAAAGCCAAATGTTACTTCTCCCATGCTACACATGCTATATCCACACAACAACCAAGGTCCATGTGCATCTGCACAACAAGTGCATCATCAGAGAGTTTTCAGAGCTGGTGGAAATATTGTAACTCTGGGGGATGGGGGATGGGGGTGGGGGAGGGGGTGGGATATCAGAAATTCCAGGAGAAATTCCCTAACCATGACAGCCCTAGATCAACGTCTAATCTCTTTATCTGTGGCTTTTCTGAATGATGACAAATAAGGACTGTTGCCATAGCAATTAACAATTTAAAATAAATCTTTTGAATAGGAAAAAGTCTTCAAATTGCAGCATGAAAAGCACAACTTTTTAATTGAGTTTCTGGACACTGGTAATTTAGTGAAATTACCAAAAATGATCATTATAAAATGTCTAATCTCTTGAGTTTCAGAATGATGAGAAATAAGGACTGTTACCATAGCGATTAACAATTTAAAATTAAATACTGTATTATACCTTTGAATGAGAAAAAATTCTCAAATTCTTGCATGGAGAGTGCAATGTTTTAATTAAATTTCTTTGCGGCAAAAGCAAAACAACATTGGACACTGGTAACTTAGTGAAATTACCTAAAATTATAATGTTACAACATCTAATCTCTTTATCTGTGGGTTTCAGAATGATGAGAAATGAGGAGTGTTGCTGTAGCAATCAACAATTTAAAAAATAAAAGCTGTATTTTACGTTATGAGTTGGAGAAAGTCCTCAGATTGCAGCATGGAAAGTGCAACTTTTTAATTGAATTTCTTTGTAGGAAAAAGAAAAAAAAAAGGACACTGGTAATTTAGTAAAATTATCTAAAATTATAATGTTACAAAAATTTAATCTCTCTATCTGTGGGTTTCAGATTCATGAGAAATAAGGACTGTTACTATAGCGATTAACAATTTAAAATGTTTTGAATAGGAAAAAGTCTTCAAATTACAGCATGGAAGGCACACATTTTTAACTGAGTTTCTTTGTAAGAAAAAAAAACAAAAACAACACTGGACACTGGTAACTTAGTAAAATGACCCAAAATGATAATTATAAAAGGTCTAATTTCTCTATCTTTGTTTCAGAATGATGAGAAATAAGGATTGTTGCCATAGCGATTAAGAATTTAAAAGTCCTCAAATTGCAGCATCTTGGGCACAACTTTTTAGTTAAATTTCTTTGTAGTAAAAGGAAAAGAACATTGGACAACACTGTAATTTACCCAAAATGATAATGATACAACATCATCTCATATCTATGGGTTTCAGACTGATAAGGGATAAGGACTGTTGCCATAGCGATTAACAATTTAAAACTAAATACCCTCAAAATGTTGTATATACAGTAACAGGGAGCTGAAACCCAAGAATAAATTTATTATAAGCCATAGGAATCGTTGTATTTGTAATGTTATGCCTTCAACTCAAAATTTTAAAAGTTGGTGCAATGAAATAATAGAGTAATAAAAGTAAATGTGTATGTATTTCTGTTTAAAATTTAGATAAAAATGAACACAAATTAGTATCATTTGAGGGGGTAAATGTGTTGAAAGTATTAAATTTGTTCAAAAATTTCATAACTTTTTATGCTCTTTAACAATTGATCAAAACACTATATTCGTCTATAATAAAATGAAAACAATGACATTCAAATTGATTTAATAAATGGGTTTTTATGGTGAGGTCACATCACAAAGAGAAAATCAAATTTGGGACTGATCTAGGACTAAATTTGGGACTAAACCCGGGCTAGACCTGCACTAAACCAGGACTGGATCTGACCCGAAAGAACTAACTTCATTGAAATTACAACAGGTGGCGCTGCAAAGTATCAGTAAACTCAGTGCATCATGTGTGATCTATGTAAAACCAGACAGTATATAGTTGATAATAAAAGTATACTCACGGTCTCTCTGTCCAGCTGCTTGTTCACTTTGATGACTCCACTGAGCAGATCAATGAAGAACTGGTTTTCTCTGTCTCCGCTCACGATGGAGTACAGCACTGCCCCGTTCATCTGACTGTCCACGTCCTCCGCCATCAGCTGCGCACACACACAAATACAACGTGTGCGTTTAATATCACTTCTATTAAAAAAGAACTAAGTGAAGCCAAAATCTCCAAGAGCATCAAGAACACCGGGCCTTAAGGAAATCACTTTATATTGCGCACCGTGGCAGACTCTGTCCTGCTCAAATCCAGGCTCAAAACGTGTCACTTTGCAAACTGTGTTTTTTATTTTACAGTTATTTTTAATGTTTTGCATGTTTTGATTCTGTTTATTTGATTGGAAAAGCACCTTTGAGCACCTTTAGTGTTGTAAAGGGCTCTAGAAATAAAGATTGATTGATAAAGGCTACGTTTACACTGAAACGAATCACCGTATCACCGTATCTGCGTCCAGACACGTCATTTCTGTGCCCACAAGCCTTCCTTATCCACACAGCTTGGAGCATATTTGTTTATGTTTTACAGAAATGAAACTTAAAAAAAGCATGGCTAATTTGCATTAAAAAAAACAAAACAAAACAGCTCGTTCCTTGTGCACTGATGCGGTTCAACTTCTTTCAGACTAAAGGACACAACTCAGTGGAATATGAGTGTTCTTTCTGTGACAGAGGGATGTTCTGCTGATGGTGAGTCTGTTCTGTGCTTCTATCATGTTGGAGATGGTTCATATTAAACTTTTCAGAGATTATACGTCTGCATGTCGTACACACAGACTGTATATATGAATGGACAGATATTCTAGCCTCTTAGCGTTTTGGTGGTGAATTACTTTGCGGTGCATAGAACTACATCAGAGTATCAGCGTTTTCAGGCATCCACACAGTGTTGGATCAGATCCGTAATCAAATGAATTCGTGGGAGCTGGCAGCACCAGATCAGTTCCGTCTCTGGAGTCATTTTCAATTGGATTAGTGTGAACGAACACTGCATCCACAACGAAAACGTACTAGTGTGGATGGGGCCAAAGATGGATTGTTCCAAGTTGTACAGAGACAGCAGGATGACATGTTGGCGGTGGTAAATTTAAAACAAGTATTTTTAAGCCTATGTTCTATTCAAACAAAGGAATCCCTTGTTGCTGGGTGGTTAAAGCAGTAGAGATAAGTCTTAGAGTATTGTTAGTATTGTTTTTAGTAGAAGTAGTAGTAGTAGCAGAGGTAATAGTAGAAGTAGTTGCTGTTGTAGTGTAATACATTGTTTTGCGACTCTGAGGTGGGTTGCAAGAGATTTTTTTTGGGTCGCCTTGTCATGATCTGCATGTAGGTGTGTGATATACATATACAAATATCTCCGCGTAACCCCCCCTCTGCTCCTTCTTCCCCGTGTACAGAATCTCCTCTCCACATATCCCCCCCGCTCCTCCTCACTTCTTCTCTGTGCACAGAATTTCCAATTTCCGCGCATCCCCGACTACTCACTTTTTCAGCACCGCCTTGCCTAACCAATTTTCTGTGGGAAACTCTTACTGTTTTTCATTGTTTAAGAAATACTACTACTTTTGAGTAATACTAACTGTTCAGTGAGACACGATCACCCAGGCAACAATAAAATATCCTCATTAATGTTCAATAATGGTCACAAAATTTGATTTATGAATTTACTGATTTATGAATAATGTCTATTGACTTGTGTCGTGAAGATTTGTGACTTTTAAAATATGGATCCCCAGAAAAAAAGTTAGAGAGACACTGATGTAATAGTTCTATTTGCAGTTATAGTGGTAGTAACAGTACTACAAGTTGTAATATTACAAGTATTTAATGCCTTATTAGATAGTGTAGTAGTAGCAGTAGCAGCTGTAGTAGCAGCTGTAGTAGTAGTAGTAGTAGTAGTAGTAGCAATAGTAGCAATAGTAGTAGTAGTAGTAGTAGTAGTAGTAGTAGTAGTAGTAGTAGTAGTAGCAATAGTAGTAGTAGTAGTAGTAGTAGTAGTAGTAGTAGTAGTAGTAGTAGTAGTAGTAGCATAGTAGTAGTAGTAGTAGTAGTAGTAGTAGTAGTAGTAGTAGTAGTAGTAGTAGTAGTAGTAGTAGTAGCAATAGTAGTAGTAGTAGTAGTAGCAATAGTAGTAGTAGTAGTAGTAGTAGTAGTAGTAGTAGTAGTAGTAGTAGTAGCAATAGTAGTAGTAGTAGTAGTAGTAGCAATAGTAGTAGTAGTAGTAGTAGTAGTAGTAGTAGTAGTCAGTAGTAGTAGTAGCAGTAGTAGTAGTAGTAGTAGTAGTAGTAGTAGTAGTAGTAGTAGTAGTAGTAGTAGTAGTAGTAGTAGTAGTAGTAGTAGTAGCAGTAGTAGTAGTAGTAGTAGTAGTAGTAGTAGTAGTAGTAGTAGTAGTAGTAGTAGTAGCAGTAGTAGTAGTAGCAGTAGCCTTATACTTATACTGCAGTTGGTAAGTAACATTATTCTGAAGTAGCAGTAATTAGTCCCTTTTATGTGGGTAGTTGTATTAGTAGAGATAAAGGCAATAATAGCGTTTGTAGTTTATACTAGTAGTAGCTCTTGTTGTAGTGTTGTAGTATTTTAGTAGTAGTAGTAGCGCTACCACAAGCTGTAATAATGAGCTGTAGTCATAGTTGATGGTCCAATACCTTATACTGCTGCTAATAAGTAATATTATTTTGAAGTAGCAGTAATTAGTCCCTTTTATGTGGGTAGTTGTATTAGTAGAGATAAGGCAATAATAACGTTTGTAGTTTATACTAGTAGTAGTAGTATTTTAGTAATAGTAGCAGTTTTACAAGCTGTAATAATGAGCTGTAGTCAAAGTTGTAAGTCCAATGCCTTACCGTACTGCTGTTATTATTTATTTATTATTATTTTTAAGTAGTAGTAATTAGTCTCTTTTAGTAGTCCCCATGGGTTGTATATGGTAGCTCTAGTTGAAGTATCATAGCAGTCGCAGTACTACAAACTGCAGTAATGATAGCTGTAGTCATAAGTCCAATGCCTTCTACTCCATCTGGTAAGTAATACCACTTTGAAGTAGCGGTGATTAGCCTCTTTTAGTAGTCCCCGTTGGTAGTATATGGTAGCTCTAGTTGTAATATAATAGCAGTAGCAGTAGTACAGACTGCAGTAATGATGTACGTAAGTCCAATGCCTTTTACTGCTGCTGGTAAGTTATGATTTTGAAGTAGTAGTGACTTAAATTGAGTTCAAATCTGAAACGATTTTTCCATTTTTCACAAAGGTGTTGTGTTTCCCATTGTCTCACATTGGCCATTTGCAGCTCTGGTTTAAGCCCCTCCGTCTCAGAAACACATTAAAAATCAGACCCGCTCCCCCATTTTCCATTCCCCTCAGGCACCTCTCTCCTGAACCCTAATACCACATCCACCTGCTCAAAAGCTCCTCTTCTTCTTTTGTTTCTTAATATGCTGTAAAACAGATCACGCTCTGTTCCAGCTCTGTCGCTGCCCACCTGTGTTTCCACGGTAACAGACACCTGGGCGTTTTACGAGTGAGACTTTGGCGCCGAGAGCGGAGATATTTTAGTCGCATCCAAAGTTTAGTGACTGAGCTGACTTCGTACAAAAGCACTTGCCAATTTGGTTCAGTTGCGTGGTGACACTGGCTGCGGTTACACGAACAGTCCAAATCTGATTATTAAAGGTCCTATATAACACAAAAGACACTGGTGAGCTTTAACATATATGATAATGCTCCTGGAGTTTCATTCACGTGTTTGAGTAACCCTTTATTTTTAGTTGGTTAACATCTCCAAAGCTCAAAATGTTCATTGTTCAAACTTGTCATGAAGTGGCAGTTTTCAAGTTAACTGCGGCTTCTTACATTTAGTTCAGTAGATACTGGCACTTCCAGGGCTGAAATTATCTGAATGATTGGGTAACACTTTATAATAACTACACCTTATTTAGCCTTAATAAAGCATGAACAAAGGCTTAATTAATAATGAACAAAGACTTAATTAATAATGATTCACCGCTTAGTAACTACTTAACTACTACCTTAATTAGCACTTGCACTTAATTTGCCTGTGCTGTAAATAGTTACTCATAATTATTTCATACTTAATTACTCATGAACTAACCATTTGAGCATTTATTAATGATTAGTAAACTATGAGAGAATGATTTACTAATAATACAATGCAATGATCATTCAGGCAGCTGTTATCTGTTAGTTAAATCTTTTGGAGAGCTTTTCTAAAGTGAAGACTAATGATCCTTTATTAAACATTTACTAAGCATGAATCATTATAAGTCTTTGTTCATTATTAATTAAGTCTTTACTCGTGCTTTATTAAGGCTAAATAAGGTGTAGTTATTATAAAGTGTTACCATGATAAAGTTGTGTGGAGATGAAAAACACAGTGGAGATTAAAAACACAGTACTTCCTGTATTACCACATGACATCACAAGGTAGAACGGAGAGAAAATAACCTAAATATGCAAACTAAGAATAGTGTTTGAGCATCAAACATGTGAATGAAACAAAACACAACTCCAGGTATGGTTTTGATAAGGAAACAACATTTTAACATAGATCAGTAAATACTATAGGCTCTTGAACAGATTTTTGGAGTTACACATGTATTAAAATTAGATGTAAACATGTAAATTAGAGGTCTCCAACCTTTTTCCTCTGGTGTGCTACTTTTACAAAATGAAAATACCAGAGAGCTACTAATGTTAGTGGCAAGAAATTTAGTAATAAATATAAGAGCCAGGGTGAGCCTTACATAGGGTACAGCTAGATGTCTATAAAACATAAACCATTATCCATTTGTTAGTGTACAAAATTAGGCATCAAGGTTATACATTTATAATTAAGGCTGTGTATCATTAAGAAGTTGCCGATACAATACATATCTCGATACGCAGGTCATGGTATGATACATATATAGTGCACTTTTGATTTGATACAATATATTTCAAAATTAGGCTAAATGATGACTGTGATACTAAAAGTCTGTGTAAAACCATTTCTTATGCAAAGTTCATATGAAACACAAACATTTTAATCATCAAAACACTGAAAATGTCAAATGTCGAAAATGTGTCGCATAAAAGAGTTTCCTTCCTCTAAACCAAAAAAACTGTAGCTCTGTAACAAAACAATTCAGTAAAATATACCAAAAAATACTCATATGATATATTGATACAGCAGCCTATGATATCGATACTGTATCATCACATTAAACAATACGATATATGAATATTTCAATATTTTTGCACACCCCTAGTTACAATGAAAACAGGCATTTAATCAATCAAAATTCACTTATTTAGCACAATAGGTGTAATTCAGAAATCGTTTGGTGAGTTACTTGGATTGGGGTGGAGAGATACTGAGGAGATCCCGAGCAACAGGTTGGAGACCCCTGATGTAAATCATCAAAACACGGAGGAAGTGAGAGCTTCAGGGTATCCTAGTAGAAGTCCACAACAGGTGCTCAGAAGTTAACATATAGTGTGGATCAGTGTTTCCCAAACTTTTTTCTGGGGACCCATATTTAAGAGAGATATGAAAGATCGTGAAAAAAAATCTAGATCGCGACCCCGTCTTTGGGAAACAATGGTGCAGATGACCGAGCTTATCATGTAAAAACTTACTGTGATAAAGTAAAAATCTGTCAAAACGTCTGAGTCTCTCTGCTGGAATTAGAATAAAAAGTAGTTTAATGGTTTGTCCCATGTCACCATATAACCATTAAAGGATTTTTGTGAGTGCCTCAGACTTGACTTTTTGACAGTTTTTTACTTTATCACAGTAAAGTACAAGCTTGGTCTTCACTTTCAGAAAACAGATAATAATGACATTTTGGTGTGTATATGAACATAGTCACAGAGTTCTTGGGGAAGAACAAGGCAAACCCAATTTAGCTGCCTTTACTCGTGTTTTTTTTTTTTTTTTTTTTTTTTTTTTTTACAGTTAGAGTGGTATGCAGGTTTCTGATATTCTAACACAGTATGACTTGGCTTTAGGGTTAAGCTCATTCTAAAGTGTCACGGGTGTGATCTGACCCTCACCTGCACCACCGCCTCCCCGATGGCGGCGTCCTCGGACACCACGGCGGAGTACACGTCGCGGCTGAAGATGGGCGCGTTGTCGTTGACGTCGGTGAGGTTGATGTTCACCGTGGTGATGGCGCTCAGGGGCGGGGTTCCTCCATCCCGCGCCTCCACGGTCAGAAAGTAGTCCCGGCACGTCTCATAGTCCAGAGGCTGAGCTACGAGGATCGCACCTGAGGGGAGAGAAGGGGTCCGTCACCTGCTTGTTTCTATGGATACGTCATTGCTCTGCTTGAAATGTTCCGCCGTGTGACATTAAACAGATCTACTTTACATTTATTCAATTACAGATGGTTTTACAGCTCAAAAATACCCAGAAAAACAGGGATTCTGACTGTGAGCGGGGTCGCCTCTCCATAGATCGGACTTGTAACTTGGTCTGCTTTGGTCTCCATGAAGATAGAAAGGTTTAATACCACACTGTGAACCATTCCAGACAAAGCACCACCAGAAAAGCTACACAATGCACAATACAAAATGGATCACACCTGAGAGGAGAGAAGGGGGGTTCGTTTGGTTTCGTTGATTAGTTTATTTAAACTGGGAATACATATAAACACATTTATCTCGTAAAAGAAGAGCCGCATTACACCAGATTCAGCTAAAGTTAGTTTCCATCTGTAGTCCACGGGCAGGTTCACAAACAATTCAAATACATCCAAGTTTCCATCCATTTACAAACAAACCATGCACTCTCCCATTCTTTCATTTAAAATATCACAGTTCACAAAGTTGGTAGAGGTTGGATAATTGTACACTTATTAATCTATAATGTTTTATGCTTTTCAGAATAAGAATCATTGTCATTTCAGTATAAAAATTCCACAGAATAAAACACTGTACTCCAGGTTATCAGCAACATTTAAAAAAAGGTATACCGTATTTTTCGGACTATAAGTCACACTTTGTTTTCATGATTTGGGTGTTTCCCGCGACTTATACTCCAGTGCGACTGACAGCCATGAGAGGCTCTGGGGCTTGTGTGTCAGTATGTAGTACTACTATTACTCCTGTACCACTGTCACTTCGCACTCTACTGCGCATGTCTCCTGTAGAAAAAGCCGCTGTCTTGCTGCAAGTAGTTAAATCTGCAGTCAAAAACGGTAATACAGCAGCAGAAAAAAAGTTTGGAGTGAGCGAAAAACTTGTGAGGGACTGGTGGATAGCGAGGAAGGAGAACACAGCTTCACGATAACCGGGAGGATGCACCATGTAACTTTTGTGGAAGTCACTGGATGAATAGACAAATCCTGAACTTCAATGACAATTGAAACCATCTTGTCGGGATTCAGAAAGGAATAATTCTAACTGGAACTGGTGCTGAATCTGACGACAGCTACACAGAAGAGGAAGCAGCTCTCTGTTTACCTCATGGATCTACGATTTATCTCCAGAGGTCACGCAGAAGTGACACTCAGGGTGAAGAATTCAATGAATTTAATGATTTGGAGTGAGATTGTGAGTTTGGTAAACTTATGTTATGTTGTTTATGCTAAAATTATCTGAAGAACTGAAATATGTTATATGAAAACTTAAATATGAAATATTAACGCTTATTCAGCCTGTTGTTCTCTATTCAGTTGTTGTTATTATAACTTGTCTTTCAAGGTGAAATGTCGGTTCCTGGTCTCTGATTTTATAAAATACATTTCCCCAAAAAGTGTGACTTATGGTCCGGTGTGACTTATATATGTTTTTTTCTTCTTCATTGCGCATTTTTTGGCTGCTGCTACTTATACTCCAGAGCGACTTTTACTCCAGAAAATACAGTAGTTGTTTTTTTGTTTGGTTAGTTGGTGTTTTTGGAACCTTCGTGCTATCATTGGTTCCTAAATACACACTTTTACACTAGGGCGAATCACTTTTTTTCTGATTCTAATTCAACTTTCTTTTTCAACTCTGATATGATGAAAATAAACCGACAAACTTTTACTAATTGTTTCTGAGAGTCCAAAATGCATTATGTATTATTATTAATAGCAGAAGTAAGTAGATATACGGTACTAACCTTATGAACTTTATGTAATTATCGCTTGAGAACAAATATCTTCAAATTAATTAATTAGTCCCTGGTTTGTGGGTGGTTAAAGCAGTGGAGATATACACAAAAATAGTCTATTTTCTTCTCCAGAGTCTGAACTCTGCTCCAAACCACATGCTTTCACTGACAGAGGACTGGCTATAGACTGCTTAAAAAAACAAACAAAAAAAAAGCTGGTAATTGACAATTAGACATAAATGACTCTGGATCGCGATTAAAATTGGATTAAATGCCCAGCACTATTCACGTTCTTCTCTGATTTCACATTTCAGAGATTTCATTGACTGATTCATTTTTATTTCCAGTTTGTGCCAAGAGAGAAACAATAATCATACACATACTACATCTACATCGTAAACAACAGAAAAGCACATTTCTCGAAAAGGAGTGGGAAGAAGAAAAAACTTATATTAACTCACCTCTGTTCATGACACAGTTTCAAAAATGATGTGGTTTCTTATGTATAAATGTACTCCACGTCTGGTAACACACATGCTTTTGAGAGTGGTGCAAGAGAAGAGTTTTTTGACCTCTCAGGTTGTATTTGAATTCATTTGTGCAGAACAGTTTTTGAATGTTTTCTGGGAGCAGGTTGAGTTTCACTTTTAATGAGATTTGGCATGTTTTAAATTTTACCAGGTCCGCAAATTTGAGTAAAAAGTGCATTTATATGTTCTCTGTATCCGACTAAGTGAGTATTCATATTACATTTTTTTGTAATTTAAACAATAAGTCTGTATTACTTTTATATGAATTTCCCCCGACTTTTACACATTCCTAAAAGTGCACTGTGGAACTTTTTTGGTAGAGCATCCACCACTTTGACTCCATGTTTTTTGCTTTTTTTTTTTTAATGAAATGATCTGCAGGTAATTTAACTCTTTCCCCCCTGGACGCCTACTAGGAACAACCCATACATATGTTACTAGGGCTGCCCATAGAGCATAACTGCATAAAAGAAAACAGACTTCCACGAGTGATTTCAGGGCAATTTTGGTTCATAATCGAGTATAAAGCCCGGATAGTTTGTTTGGATATCGCAGGACTCCACACAGATGCATCAGCGGCATTCTCATCTTCGTAAGATTCACTCTCTGTAAGTCCGTCGCTATCGCTGTTTTCCACTTTATAATCACCCTCATCATCACTTTGAAATCTATAAAAGTCACTTTCTCTAAACTTATCCATAAAATACGTCCACTCCTCATTATTTCTAAAACTGTGCGCCGCAGCGCCGTGATCTTTCCATTGCACGTGTTTTGAAGCTATGTGAAAAGCCGAGCCGTTTCTAAAGTTCGTCAAATCACGTCTTTAGTGATACAGCGGAGGAGTCAAAAGTCGTCATTAAGGGTACAGGGGGGGTCGTCAAATGTCGTCTTCATGGGGGAAAGAGTTAAATATTTCCATGTTGACAAGCAGGTGACAACACCAGGCCGAGTTACAGGTCAGATCTGTGGAGAGGTGGACCTGCTCACAATAATAATGCAGGCATTTTGCTGTAGTTTTGAGACATAAAAACACCAGTAACTGAATAAACACAAGATGTATTTGCTTACTTACAAACTTTGGAACATTCCAGGCAAAGCAGATGGCAGACCTTCCACCAGAAAAGTTGCACAGTGCACCTTTAAACTCACATTATGTTCAGCTAACTGATTTTGGTCTCTTCAAACTCACCTGTGAGCGGGTGGACATGGAACTTCCCGTGCTCGTTGCCAGATCTGATGCTGTAGGTGATCTCCGCGTTGGTGCCGATGTCTTTGCTGGCCGCGTAGACCCTCAGTACCTCCGTGCCCACCCCGACATCCTCCGGGACGGTGGCCAGCTGGTCCCTCCTCTCGAACACCGGCGGGTTGTCGTTGATGTCCAGCACGGTGATGGTGACGTTGACCAGAGAGGACAGAGGCCGGGGCGTGCCCTGGTCCGAAGCGCGGACGGTGATCTGATACGAAGACTGCACCTCGCGATCCAGAACTCGCTCCAAAACGACGATGCCAGAAGATTTTTCGATGGAGAAGGAGCCGTCTGCGGAGTCGGCCAAAGAGTAGACGACAGTGCGGCCCGGACCTGCTGTGGGTAAAGTACACATGGAGTTAAGTATGAGCTCTGTGTACAATAGTGACCTCACTGCGTCACTACTTCCTGTCAGATTTTATCTCGATGATGTTTTGTCGTGCTAAAATGAATAAACATTTAAAGATGAGACAGTCAACAGCGAGCAGTGGGTGGATGTCACTGACAACACATTAAAAAGTACATAAATAAAATGTATACTTCAGCGGAGGAGACTTCTGTGTTTAAAAAGAGACATGTTTGGGTCTTAGTGCTACAGTATGTGCCATTTCTTGTGGAACATTCCAAAAAGTTATAGAAGGTTTTAGACGCTCCACCTAAAAACTTAGTGGTAGTTTACAGATTCTAAAATGTGATGGTGTCATCTGTCTATTAATGCAAGAAACGTTCGTCTGTGTCTCCTCCTGTTTGTTTGTTTGTTTGTTTGTTTGTTTGTTTGTTTGACTGTTCCACACATAACTCTCGATCCATTCATCCGACTGATCTCAAATGTGGAGGGTGTCATCCTAATGGTCCGGGTGTTTGCAGTGCGAAGTTTCATGTTGTTATGGCAAAAAATGCCAAAGATCTTTTAAAATGAGTGATATACCATAAAGCTGTGATTTTATATTTTATTATTTATCTTTCTATTTTATTTTTTACTGTACATTTACATTTATATAATTATGTCTTTTTTGACATTGTTATTTTGACATTGCCTTGTGGATCAATAAAGTTTGTTTAAGTCTAAGTCTAAATACTAGTACTTCCAGTTGGGGACAAGAGCCAGTTTTTCCTATTGATTACTGTGCTTTGTCATGAAATATTAGAAAGGTGAATTCCTAAATATAAAACCTGATCATTTTAATTACTGAAATTACTGACAAGATTCAAGACCATTCTATCTTCCAACAAACAATCTGCAGTTGAACAATATTCATTTTAGCTGCCGACATCTGTATTACACAATATTGGCTTATAGAATGTAATAATGTCATCTGAAAACCTCCATATCGTGCCCTTTAATAGAACCTAGAACAGTATGTCGAGGATATTTTAGGAATTACTTCAACTTTTGACCTCATTTCACATCGTCATCTATTTCTCTAGGTTGAAATTGCTCATCTATGTCATTTAATAAACATATTTTTAGTTGAAGAAGAACTAATCAGTAGTAGCAGTAGCAGTTCTAGTAGTAGTAGTAGTAGTAGTAGTAGTAGTAGCAGTAGAGGTAGTAGAGGTAGTAGTAGTAGTAGTAGTAGTAGTAGTAGTAGTAGTAGTAGTAGTAGTAGTAGTAGTAGAGGGAGTAGTAGTAGTAGTAGTAGTAGTAGTAGTAGTAGTAGTAGTAGTAGTAGTAGTAGTAGTAGTAGTAGTAGTAGTAGTAGTAGTAGTAGTAGTAGTAGTAGTAGTAGTAGTAGTAGTAGTAGTAGTAGTAGTAGTAGTAGTAGTAGTAGTAGTAGTAGTAGTAGTAGTAGTAGTAGTAGTAGTAGTAGTAGTAGTAGTAGTAGTAGTAGTAGTAGTAGTAGTAGTAGTAGTAGTAGTAGTAGTAGTAGTAGTAGTAGTAGTAGTAGTAGTAGTAGTAGTAGTAGTAGTAGTAGTAGTAGTAGTAGTAGTAGTAGTAGTAGTAGTAGTAGTAGTAGTAGTAGTAGTAGTAGTAGTAGTAGTAGTAGTAGTAGTAGTAGTAGTAGTAGTAGTAGTAGTAGTAGTAGTAGTAGTAGTAGTAGTAGTAGTAGTAGTAGTAGTAGTAGTAGTAGTAGTAGTAGTAGTAGTAGTAGTAGTAGTAGTAGTAGTAGTAGTAGTAGTAGTAGTAGTAGTAGTAGTAGTAGTAGTAGTAGTAGTAGTAGTAGTAGTAGTAGTAGTAGTAGTAGTAGTAGTAGTAGTAGTAGTAGAGTAGTAGTAGTAGTAGTAGTAGTAGTAGTAGTAGTAGTAGTAGTAGTAGTAGTAGTAGTAGTAGTAGTAGTAGTAGTAGTAGTAGTAGTAGTAGTAGTAGTAGTAGTAGTAGTAGTAGTAGTAGTAGTAGTAGTAGTAGTAGTAGTAGTAGTAGTAGTAGTAGTAGTAGTAGTAGTAGTAGTAGTAGTAGTAGTAGTAGTAGTAGTAGTAGTAGTAGTAGTAGTAGTAGTAGTAGTAGTAGTAGTAGTAGTAGTAGTAGTAGTAGTAGTAGTAGTAGTAGTAGTAGAGTAGTAGTAGTAGTAGTAGTAGTAGTAGTAGTATAGTAGAGATAGTAGTAGGTAGTAGTAGTAGTAGTAGTATAGTAGAGATAGTAGTAGTAGTAGTAGTACTATAGATTTTTTCTTGGTATGGTTCAGGAATAAAAAGTTCAGACTCTTTTTCTTCCACTTGTGCGGCTCATGTAAAGTAGAAAATGTTTCCTGTGACGTACACAGAGCTGCTCACATTTGCATTTTTCTAGATCAAAGTGCCCTGACATTGAGCAAGGCAATTATTAAAGGGTTAGACTATTTGAGGAGGTGCTTGTTGCTGTGTGAACCATAGTTAACACTTTTGATTAGTGACAGACTACTTTGACCTGCAGTTATTTTCCTGATTATGAATATGTACTCATGCCTATAATGTTTGGTTTCATGGTTTAGGCTCAATCTGCAAGTAAAAATGTGATCTGATCTCTGTTATAATGTCGTTTCCTCATCACAAACAGACCTGCAGTTGTGTTTTGTTTCATTTATACATGTTTAACACACAAACCCTGGATATTTAGGCTGAGTTTTGAGGCCAAAGAAAACACTCCCTTCCACCTTGTGATGTCATCTAGTAATACAGAAAAGTGCTGCAATATAGAGGTCTGCGCGGGACAGAATTTTCAGTCCTGTGATATTTTGTCCCGCTCCTGCCCGCAAATCCCTCAAGATGGGGTTCACTTTCTTAAGCTCTATCAAACACGGAGAAGCGGAAAGGAATTGTCTAAAATTTGCGTGAGATTAGACCGTGTCTGCAAATTTAGGCTGCTTAAAATGTTTTTAATTAATGCTAAATAAAATATCCAGTACAAATTATGTATGATAGGCATGCATTAATCATTTGTATATTTTACTTTACACTCATATTTAGTTTGTGGGACTGCGGTTTATCGTCCCACCCGCCTGCTCCAGCATCATGCAGTCCCGTCTCACCCACGCCCACAGTGAGCTTTCAAAATGTGTCCCACACCACACTGTTTTGCGTTAGGTTCCCGCGGGAGTGCAAGGCTCTACTGTAGCCTCCTCGGACCTGGTGTTCACATATGTGGCCATATATGTCACATGTCAACACATTTTAGTAAATTAATAAATAGATTTTGCAAATCAGTATTCAATTTTGACTTTACTGTATTCCACCAAAATGAGTAAAACAAAAACTGAATGTTTTATATATCATATGTTGACATAATTTTTCTCAGAAACTACAAATGTACTAAAGTCATGCAAGAGTTTGGATCCTAGGAGGTCAATTTCATACAGCTTCACTAGAATCATTTGGATAATTTCAGCTCTGGAAGGAGTGTATATTTTAAATTTGTATTTATTTATGAGACACAAACACTGCACAATATACACGAACCTTAACAGGACAGATGCATTGTGCCACGTTGTAGAACTAGAGCTCATTTCCATCTGTAGTCCCTGGTGCATGTTTTTTAAGGTTTGGAATTGCCCAAAGGTAAAAGGTAGCTGATAACTTAAAAGTTAACACTTGATGACATCACAAGGTGGAACAGAGTATTTTGAGCTTTGGAGATGTAGGCAGACTAATAATGTAGGGTTACTCTAACATGTATGAATAAACAAAACACAACACCCGGTATGTTTCTGAGGACGTAACAACAGTATAACATGGCTTAAAGCTCACAAGAGTCAATTTTAAACCTTTAAAAATAAACCTGACATTGACATTGGTAAGTGGTTGAGATGTTGGTCTTACCCTGGTCTGGATCGATGGCCTGTATGCGGGTGAGCAGGGCTCTGGGGGCGGTGTCTTCATAAACACTGGCGGTGTAGTGAGGCAGGGTGAAGAGGGGAGGGTTGTCATTCACGTCGCTCACCGTCAGCAGCACGTCAGAACTACAAAAATGGCCACCACCGTCTGTCGCTTTGGCAACCAGTCTGTAAGCTGGCGTCACCTCTCGATCCAGGTTCACCATTAGTTTGATATCACCTGTTGAGTGTATAAAGTGAAAGTATGAAGGCACAAAGTAGAGCCCGACCGATATGGATTTTGTTGTGGCCGATATGAAACGGATATAATGGGAGTTGGAGCTGCCGATAGCCGATATATTCGCCGATATATTTAGTGATGAAAAAATTCACTGTAAATCTTGAATTGTTTAAAAAACTTAGGTTTGGCTCTAGCGGATTCTAAATTGGGTTTATTTAGGCAACATTTATTGTTGTTCTGGCTCTTTACATCATATTTACATACAGTAGATTGGCCTAATGGCATTTTTGCATCACATTCTAGCTACTAGTGATGGGTATTCCAGTTTTTTTTTTTGTGGCTCTTTTGGCTCGGCTCACTAAAGCAGCTGGCTCTTTCGGCTCCCAAGCGACTCTTGAGATTGTTTTGTTGCAAGCAGGACTAAACCAGAACTGAACCAGGACTGAAAAAGGACTAAACCAGGACTAAAACAGATTTAAACCATGTGTAAAACAGGACTAAACCAGAACTGAACCAGGACTGAGTGTCGGGACTCGGTTTCTATCTCTCTCCTTCACTTAAGCCCAAGTTTAGTCCTGCTTTATTCATTTTATGCTGAACTGCAGCCAAATATGCACTTTTTTTTTTTATCCTATGCACACGCAGATTTCTGAAAGTTTCGTTTTCAGCCGCTGCTGCTGTCAAACTACGGGTCGACATGCGGCATGAAGAGAAAAAGTGAGAAAAAGAGAAAACACGGCTCCCAATGAGAAACATGCTCCTGTTGTTCGCTCTAAGAGCCGCTTCGATCGCGACCGACCCATTGCTACTAGCTTAGTAAAGAAACTACCGCTATTAGCCTTTAGCCGTGCGCATAGCGGTAATTAATTATATGCATAAATGTGGATCATTCACACGTCTATTCACAGCTTATTTACATATCAACGCAGGTTCAGTAACAAATATATGGCCAATATAGTCACTTTACAATAGACCAATAGAAAACAGCCTGTTTATGTGCGGGAGCTACAGCAGCTAATCGCTAACAAAACCTAAACTAGCTTCAAAGTCGATGTATTTCCAACACTCACCGCTCACACAAGCTCCTCCTCACATCACAAGTCTGCACTAATAAATGTCCTTTTAATCCAGACTCAAACCGATTGTCCGTAAAAAGAATATAATCTCAGTGTTGTGCACCGCTGCGGGTGTAAACAAACACACGTGAGTGAAGTGACGTGACTCTGGTGGTGTGTTCAGGGACAGTACGGTCACAGACACAGACAAATTACACCGCAGATAAATACTGGTGCGGAGCCATATATGAGGACATTTATCTGTCTGTAAATTGGATTAAATGAACATAATGTAGAGAGTCTAAGCTTTATAACGAGGTATAACATGCCCAAGTGAAATATCGGCCCATATCAGCGAGCATATCGGCCGATAGCCGATATGTCTCCAGGTGCCCATATTGGCCGATTATATCGGCCAGCCGATATATCGGCCGGGCTCTAGCACAAAGTCCAACATGTTCTCTGTCGGTGTAAATGGAAAGAAGTGAAATAGCTTCAGAAGTGGTGCCATTATTCCACCTTTAATACGCAATTTCTATCAGCTGAAAGGACTTTAAAAGACCCAACCAAATAATGTAAGAGCCAACATTTGTAGATCATAAGTCAGAGTATTACTTTCATCTCACAGTTGCCATGGAAATTGACAATTCATTATTAAGTGGGGCGACAGTAGCTCAGCTGGTAGAGTGTATATCCACTGATCTGAAGGATCCGCTCTCGACATCAACATCATTGGATGAGAGGTCGGATCCACTGTTGACCACAGTTTGGTGTCGCAATTTTAGCTAGGTCAGGAATCGAAGTACACTAGACGGTTTGTAAGAACCCCGAAGTGCGAGTTTGGGCACCAGCCAATCAGCAAAGAGCCATACATTCTGTGTTGGCAACGATTCCCGAGATCGAGGATTTAAAGCCAGAACAAAGAGAATGTTTGGTGAATTTCATCAAGGGGAAAGACGTTATTGTCCTTCTTCCTACAGGATTTGGGAAAAGCTTAATATACCAGTTAGCCCCGTTAACAGCGCTTTACATACGTCACGACCAAATAGCAGCGATTGGTTAAATTTAAAAAAGTATCTGCCTACCATCGAGCCAACGAATCCTAATGCTGTGAGGTCAGACAGTTTCTATGAAGTGAAACCGGCTGATGAATCAGGATATTATTATAGAAGATAATTTGGAAGATAAATACCGTTAAATACCGTCTGAATTAATTTTATTCTGAATTTTAGTTGCTGAAATTTTAAGTGTACATTTTCAAGTGTTTAAAATTCAGTATACAAAAGTCACCTTTTAAATATTCAGCACAAATATTTTCAATCCCTCAAATTCTACAGTCAAAATTCTGAGTATATAATTCACAGTGAAAAAAATGTTGAATTTCAGGGATTGAAAATATCTGTGCTGAATATTTAAAATGGACATTTTTAAAGTAAATTAAACTTAAAATTTCAGCAACTAAAATTCAGAATAAAATGTGTTTTTTCAGAGTTAAAAAATTCAAAGTGAGAAATTCAGCGGCATTTAAAATTCTAAATCTGATGGAACAAATAATCTTCCAGAATGTATGCTCTCGCTGTGTCCTTGGGTAAGACACTTAACCCACCTCGCTCTCGTACACTGGTGTATGAATGTGTGTGTGAATAGGTGATGTAAAGCACTTTCAGTGTCTTGAAGATAAGAAAAGCGCTGTGTAAAAATGAACATTCACCATTTACTAAATATTATAAGCTGAATGAAGAAACGTGCTCAAAATGCTGCCTACGAGTGAGAAGCTGAAACCCTTGAATTGTACATAAGTCAGGTGTTCACTCTGGGAGTCCTTGTTTTGGAGCACAGTCCTCACCAGTGTCCGGGTCGATGCTGAAGTCCTGAGAGCCGTGTCCGTGGAGACTGTACTGGATCCAGGCACTGAGCCCCACATCAGCGTCTGCGGCGACCACCCTCAGCACCACACTGTTCACAGGGACGTCCTCCGAGACAGACGCAGTGTACACCGCCTGGAAGACAGCACGGCCGCCATTTCACTCAGTTCGATTCCATTTCTTTCACAGTTTTTCTCTCACCCTGAAAACTGTGCTCAATAAAGTGGTTTCAGAGACCACATCTGGAGTAATCGACAATATGAGGCCTTCTGGGATATATATAAAAAAAAATAAATAAATAAATAATGGATCTATGATATATGAGTCATCTATTCGAGCTCAGGCCCTAAACATATTTTTATTTGGATATTAGGGAGGACAACATAGAAGCTTCATAAAAGGATACGCTTTTCAAAAAATGAAGAATAACTTCACCGTTCACCTGTATTGATACTTGGCGGCTGAGGTCATTAACATTTTCTGGTGTTGTGATGCTAACTGTAGGCTCTGTTCTGTCTGAACCTTTATAAAATTTTAATCTCTACTTTATTTGAACACAATCTGACTATAAAGAACTGACTTAGATGGAACCACAACATGTGAGCTGACTTGTACTGTTCGGTCTGTCACACATAAAATTAGTCACAAGATGAGGTTTTGGACCTTAAATCCAAGTCAAGTCCCAAGTCAAAGACAAGCAAGTCCAAGTCGAGTCTTGAGTCACTGGCCCATAAGTTCAAGTCAAGTCCAAGTCGTCTGCTTTGAGCTTCAAATCATTTCAAGTCTTTAAACCAACGATAGCTTAGATTTTTGCAATTTATATGCGTTTTAAACTAAATTGTACTTCAAAAGTCATGGTATATTTATACATGAGTATTTATATAAGAGGTGAGGAGAAAATTCAGTTTGTCGACTGGACAAAAGTTAGTTTGGTTGAAGACGTTTCACAGGTCATCCAGGCTGCTTCTTCAGTTCTGGTCAGACGCTGGTGGACACTTCCTTATATCTACAGGGAGGAGCTAACTACACTGAAACTACACTGAAACTAACACACACACTTGTTTACAGTTTCTGTTTGTTAGTTTGGCCTATTGACCTGTACAGGGTGTGGGGTCTCATTAACATAATAATTCCTGGCCATAATGGAGCTTCCACACCTCTGGACCTGACCTGGATACACCTGTTGTTCTTGTTTGTTTTGATTTGAGGATGGAGTTGTAAAGAGGAGATAGATGGTGTCTGAGTCCTCCATTTCTGTTTAAAGAAGGATTCTCTTTCTTAACAAAAATGACTTCTTTCACTCCCCTTTCAAACCAATTCTTTTCTCTGGCTAAAATCTGTACCTCACTGTCCTCAAATGAGTGGCCCGTGGCTTTTAAGTGGAGCTGTACAGCAGACTGAGGTCCACTGCTGCTCTCTCGTCTGTGTTGGTACATCCTCTTGTGAAGTAGCTGTTAATTTGCTCCACTGTAGCGTTCACTGCAGTCTTCACTGCACTGAATGGAGTAGACCACATTGTTTTGTTTGTGGCTCGGTGTTTTGTCCTTTGGGTGGACCAGTCTCTGTCTTAGAGCGTTCGTAGGTTTGAAAATCTTCTATATTTATATAAGAGTTGGAGAAATGCAAATTTTTCCTTTTTAAATGTCTTGACAAGATCTTAGTGTGAATCATTATGGTCGAAATAGAATATTTTGTCATGTAGCACTGAAATGGAAGGATCATGTTTCTATGTAGTTTGCTCTGTTTTACTATATTGTACTGTATATTACTGTAGTACATTTGAGGACACCATATCACAGTACTTCAGTTACAACCAAAGTAACAAATGGAGAAGTGGGAGCGACATGTTCCAGTTTGTTCCTGTAAAATTAAGCGGTGCATTATTTAAGCATCAATTCTCAAGTCACAAGTCCAAGTTCCAAGTCTTAGTCCATTTTATCAAGTCAAGTCTAAATACTAAAAATAGTCACTCAAGTCTGACTTAAATCCAAGTCACGTCTTGCAAGTCCCCAACTCTGCAACCTTGAACAATACATCTCTCCTGTTAAGGTTAATATATATTGGGCACTGTCCATGTCTCATTAAATAAATAAAATAAAATAAACAAACTAACCAATAGTTTTTTTTTTTACATGGTCACACTCACCATTTTATACTGACCACAGGCTCCTGAAAATGTGTTCTTTAAATCCATTATGCCTTTACAAACAATCATAAAACTTTGACAGCGTTTCCTAATGTGTGCATTGTGTCACCATGGTAACCCCTAAACATTCCACCATCAGAGATACATGTAGAGCACCCCCAAAGTATCAATACACTGATGTCACTTCAAAGCACTTACTGTACATAATAATGCTATAACCCTTTATTTTATTTTATTTTATTTTATTTTACTTGCACAGCGTTTTGTTAAATAAAATTAATAGATTTTCAACTATTATATTTATCTTGATTTTGTGTGTGCCTCTATTCTTGAACTGTATGCTGCAACGCTGGAATTTCCCCATTGTGGGACAAATCTTATCTTATTTTTTTGTAATCATTCCTGTCTCAAATACACAAAATATTCTAAAAACATTGAAGGCTATGTGACAATGCATAATACTTATTCCAGGAGCTTTTTTATATTTACAACTTTTTTAAAAAAAATCCCGGCAGGCAAGTCTTTCTTCTTTTACAGAAATCTTTCTTTAGAGAACGCTTTGTACTTGTGCGTTTGAGTGTTCCTGACCTGGTCGCAGATGGGGCTGTTGTCGTTGGTATCCGTCACCGACACCTCGACCGTTGCCTGGGAAACGAAGAAGCCGTCGCTCGCGGTAACGTTGATGACGTAGAGGTTCCTGTCCTCTCGATCCAGAGGTCCCTTCACGTACATCTTCCACTCTCCCTGAACCAGCCCCAGGGCAAACACGCCGCGGTAGTTCCCACCTACAAACAGATTCACAAATAAAATCGTTAGAAAATGAGTTACATCTGATCGAGAATTAAACCACAAGTCTGTAATTAATTAACAAGTTTGAGTTGCTACCTGCTTGTCTCCATATTGAAGTTATAGGTTTGCTTAGAATGTTCCACAGCGTAGCATTAAAAAGCCCATATGATGCTATTTTCTGATCTATGTTATAATGTTGTTTCCTCATCACAAACAGACCTGGAGTTGTGTTTCGTTTCATTCACACATGTTTAACACACAAACCCACGATAGACAGGCCACGATGAGTGTTGGGGAGTAACAGATTACATGTACTGGCGTTACTTAATCAGAGTACAAATTATGAGTAACTGTATTCGGTTACAGTTACTGTTTCAGTGAGTGGTAATTGGATTACAGTTACTTTGTTGAAATAAATGGATTACACAGAGGTATTTTCCTGTTTTCACATTTTGGGCTATATCCCTTTTTTTTTTTTTTTTGTTCTACTCATTGCCGGACACTAAAATCTAAGTCTAAATCCAGGTCTAAACTAGGTCTAAACCAGGACAAAACCAGGACTAAAACCAGGTCTAAACCAGGACTAAAACCAGGTCGAAATCAGGACTAAATCCAGGTCTAAACCAAGACTAAACCAAGACTAAAAAAGACTAAAACAGAATTTAACAGGACTAAACCATGCTGTGTGGACCGTGTCTCCTTCTCTTCTATCAACAATATTTTTAATTTGGTTAAGTAAAGTTTGGGCTTTTTATTGTCTTTTAGCAAAAAAAAACATCTTATGTGAAGATATCCGAGTCTTCGCTACTCTATGGCAAATCAAGTAATCCAAAGTATTCAGATTACGTTACTCCCCGTAAGTAACTTTATGGTTACAAACTACATTTTGGGATATGTAATCTGTAATCTGTAGGGGAATACATTTTAAAAGTAACCTTCCCAACACTGGCCATGACACATACCTCGATACAGTGAAATTTCGGTTTGATATGGTTCAATAAAAAATAAAGGCTAAATCACAGCTGTGGCAGTAAAAGTCTTTGTTAAACCACGTCTTGTGCAAAGTGAACATGAAACACAAACATTTTAATCATCAAAACAGTTAAAATGTCAAATGTGGCGCATATCATTGATATAACAGTATTTTTGCACACCCCAAATTACTGTATAATGTTGTTTTCTCCTCAAAAACAAACCTGGAGTTGTGTTTCGTTTCATTCACACATGTTGTCACACACACAAACCTGCAAATTTAATAAAGCTGGGTATCATTAAGAAGTTGCCAATACGATACATACTTCGATACAAAGACCACAATACGATCTCGATACAGTGAGCTTTCAGTTCGATACGATATATTTCAAATCGATTCAATACAGTTCAATCAAAAATAACGGCTAAATCATGGCTGTGATACTAAAAGTCTTTGTTAAAGCACTTCTTGTGCAAAGTTTATATGAAACATGCATATTTATAATCATCAAAACAGTGAAAATGTCAAAATTGCATAAATAAGTTTCCTTTCTCTAAACAAACAACAAAACTGCAGCGCTGTAACAAAATAATTTAGAAAAATACACCAAAAAATAATCTTGGTGATATATCAATACAGCAGCCCACGATATCAATAGTGTATCATCACATTAAATGAAACGATATATCGATATTACGATATTTTTGCACACCCCTAGTTATAATGTTGTTTCCTCATCACAAACAGACCTGGAGTTGTGTTTTGTTTCATTCACAAACCTGTACATTTATTAGGGCTGGGTATCATTAAGAAGTTGCCGATACGATACACACCTGGATACAGTGAGTTTTCAGTTCGATACGATATATTTCAAATTGATTTGATGTGGTTCAATAAAAAATAAAGGCTTCCTTCCTCTAAACAAGCAACAAAACAAACAAAAAAATTAGTAAAATACACCAAAAAACATTGTTGGTGATATATCTTGTGATCTCATGTGGTAATACAGGAAGTGCTCCACTGCGTTTTTAAACTCCATACACCTTCACTAGAATCATTTGGATAAATATAGTTCTGGAATTGCTAATCTCAACTAAACTAAAGGTAAATGTAGCTGTTAACTTGAACACTACCACCACATGACATCACAAGGTGGAACTGAGCATTTTGCGCTTTGGAGATGTAGACAGAGTAATAATAAAAGAGTTACTCAGACACAGTGTTGGGAAGGTGACTTTTAAAATGTAATCCCCTACAGATTACAGATTACATACCCCAAAATGTAGTTTGTAACGTAATCCATTAAATTACTTAAAGTGAGTAATGTAATCTGAATACTTTGGATTACTTGATTTGCTGTAGAGAAGCAAAGACGAGGAAATTGTAACATAAGATGTTTTGTCTGATAAAAGAAAATAAAAAGCCCAGACTTTACTGAACCAAATTAAAAATGTTATTGATAGAAGACGAGGAGACACGGTTCACACAGCAGGATTTAGTCCTGTTAAATCCTGGTTTGGTTTTAGTCCTGGTTTAGTCCTGGTTTAGTCCTATTTTAGTCCTATTTTGGTCTTGGTTTAGTCCTGGTTTAGTCCTGGTTTTAGACCTGGTTTTAGACCTGGTTTAGACCTGTCCTGGTTTAGACCTGGTTTAGACCTGGTTTTAGTCCTGGTTTAGACCTGGTTTAGTCCTGGTTTACCTGGTTTAGACCTGGTTTAGTCCTGGTTTAGTCCTGGTTTAGTCCTGGTTTAGTCCTGGTTTAGACCTGGTTTAGACCTGGTTTAGACCTGGTTTAGACCTGGTTTAGACCTAGTTTAGTGTCTGGCAATGATTGGAATTACCAAAAAAAAAAAAAAAAAAAGGGATATAGCCCAAAATGTGAAAACAGGAAAATACCGCTGTGTAATTCATTTATTTCAACAATGTAACTAATAACTCACTGTAACTGTAACTGAATACACTTACTCATCAATTTGTACTCTGATTACGTAACTCCTGTACATGTAATCTGTTACTCCCCGACACTGCTCAGACATGTGTGAATTAAACAAAACACAACTCTAGGTCTGTTTTTGGGTTGTTTTAGGTAACACTATTATAACATGTCTCCAAGTTCACAAGTCACTTCTGCTAAATATAGGACCTAATGTAATCAAATCAATTTCCTTCTCCCGTGGTTCAGTACATTACAAAGCATGTGAAGAAAATGCTTTGTAAAATAACTGTGCTTGTTCTTCTCAAAGCTGCGGGGTAATTACTTTTAACAGATGAAACCATTACAAATCGTTTTAATGACCCCCAAATGAGCCGCTATCATGAGGTCATGTGTCTGGGAGACGTCTTATCACAGCCACTTTCCCAGCACTACTTTTTTTTATCAACGCTATGCAGATAAAACTCACACATATGGTCTGTTTTGATTATTTGTTTGTTATGGGGAGAAAAGACTTATCTCTGGTGTGATAAAGGGTTATTTTAAAGACTCGACTCCAGAGCGTTTCCTTTAAGATAAGACGCGGAATTTGTTTATGTAAAATGTAAAGGAAAATGCAAAACCGCTGATGCTAAACCACTATGCGCTGTGTCACTTTTTGGTCACCTGTTTGTTTCTATGGTGATGTCATTGCTCTGCCTGGAATGTCCCACAGTATGACTTTAAACAGCTCTACTTACATGTATTTAATTATAGGTGGTTTTATAGCTCAAAAATACCTAGAAAAACAGACATTCTTACTGTGAACAGGGTCGCCTCTCCACAGATCTGACCTGTAACTTGGTCTGGTTTGGTCTCCATAGAGATAGAAAGGTTTAATGGCATACTGTGAGACATTTCAGACAAAGCAAAAGTTTGTAACAAAAGAAAAGCTACACAATGCACTAGGGATGTAACAATAACCGAAATATCGTGATATCGCATCGTCAAAGTTCTTACAATAATATCGTGGACCATCACAATATATCGAATTACAAGTCTCTTTGCTTCAATTAAGAGTTATGCTGCAGCAATAACTAAAAAAACACAGAGGGAACTACATTGACCATGATCCTTTGCTCCATTTCCAGTGCGGACTACAAGAAGACATACCAGTTCTAAGCTCTTTTAAGTCTTAGTTCTTTGGATTAAATCTTGTTCAGAGGAAAAAGTAGCATATTAACAGTTTTGTTCGCCTCTACAAAATATCGCAATAAATATCGTACCGTGAGATGTATATCGTGAAATATCGTACAGACAGATTTGGATATTGTTACATCTCTAATCGTAAGCTTTCCCACGATATCGCAGTAAATATTGTACCGTGAGATTCATACACTGACGATCTCGTATTGTGAAACTTGTATATCGTTACACCCCTAATATGCACTTTTTAAAGACTATTTACATTTAGATTCTGCTTTGTCAAATGCACTAATATGTCAGCAAGAATATACTGAGTATTTGAGCAGGGCCAAACAAAAAAACTAGAAGCTAATCTATTCTCTGACACTCAAAGGTACATAGTGTAATGTATTGTTATTCCATTGCAGGAAATGTTCCACAGTGTGACATTAAACAGTTCAGTTTATTCAAATATAGATGTTTTGTACTACTAACAAATACTTTGAAAAACTTCTTATTACAAAAGCCTCTCCTCTTCAAAGATCTGACCTGTAACATGGTCTTATGACATTCCCTTCTAGTGTGGAAAATACCCGGCAAAGCAAGAGCATTCGCAGGGAGACAAGCAGCACCCAAAAATTACACGGTGCACCTTTAAATCACAGCAAAACACAGCAAATAGACTACTGTTTTTGGATTATATTTAGTGTAAATTTTGCTGTGGCCACAAATATATACCTCTTTGGGTGAGTTGGCCTAAATTTGGTAATGGTTTAAACACCAGATGCCCTTCCTGAAGCAAAGACTGATATATTTAGACTTTGGACTGCTACAGAGGTTGCAGTGAAAAGCCAATTTCTTATGTATTCCTCAGCCCTGGGATTGCCAATCTCTACTGAACAAAAGGTAAAAGAAGCCATTAACTTGCAAACATGACATCACAAGGCAGAACAGAGCATTTTGAGCTTTGAAGAGGTAGACAGACTAAACCAGGTTTACTCAAACATGTGTTAATGAAAGAAAACACAACTCCAACTCTGTTTTGGTGATGACTCTGATGAGGTAACAGCATTATAACATGGCTTAAAGCTCACAAGAGTCCATTTTGCGCAATATAGATCCTTTAAGCATTGACTTTCTATAGCAACTGTCTTTCCTGATCCGCACTTATAGTCATGTATCCAGGCTTGGGACTGGCACAAAGCGTACAGCAGCTTTTACCCCTGTGGTTGTGTATTGATTTCATTTTAAGAGACAGAAATCTCTTTAAGCGTTATAAGAGAAGGACGACCCAAGTCTATCTCCCTGTGTCATTATGTGATCTATATAAATCCACATGGGGCTTATTCAGTCTCCTTCATCTTTATTAAACATGCCCTGGCTGTGTGGAGCGGCTCAGAAAAGGTCAGATCTGTCATTATATTTTCCATACGTTTGATTGCTGTCTCCCTACAGGGTTTCATGAGTCATTCTTCATTCAACAATAAGGTCACGTCAGTCAAACTCAGCCATCGGGAAGGTCCAGCAGTCTGATTCTAAATCTGGGATTTTAATGATTTCTGGAGATAACTATGATATTTTATGACCTAATACGCAGAAAAAATGTTTATGGCAAAGTACATTATTAAGAGCAATTATATGTACGCAATCAATACAAATACCCCTAAGTGTAGGCCAAGATATATATAGTCCAATGAGGTTCATTTGGTCGTCTGATAATTTATGTTATTAGGTTCTTTTTTCAGACCAAGAGTTTGTTTTCGCTATCATCCTGCCTCCACCGGTAGGAAACAGAAAACAGTGCCAAAACCTGTATAAATCAGCTGACCGGACACATCATATCTCTGAGGAAGAGCACTAGTGAGCAGTCGAAACTGTCAGGTATGGAAACAAACTCTTGGTCTGACAAAAGAACCTAATAACAAGATATATATAGTAGCGTAGTAAGCTGATTCTTAGGGCGCGTTCACACTAGGACTTTAGAACCGTGCTGTGCTCAAACATGATTGCAGTGGGTTCTATGTTCCTCGCTCACACCAGCACAACCTGAGCCACAGCCCAAGGACATCATCACAGTACGCTGTTTGTCTACATGTCAAGCAACAGAGCTATCGCTTTAACGCAGAAAATGAATCCAGTGGCATGAAATATCTCTTAAACAGTGAGGCAGATGTGAGTCCTGCTGTGATACGCTGCTCTGTGAGTTAGCTGGAGGTGTGAGGACAGCTGGAGCTGAGAGGCTGCAAAATGTCTGTCTTTGTCACAGTCCTTATTGAAGAAAGTGTGGACTTGCTGTGTGTTTTGAAGCAGAGTTTATTCACTTTTCTCCTTCTATGAGTAACATCAGCGCACACACAGGGCTTGTATAGTAAAGTCGTGTGTGTGTGTGTGTGTGTGTGTGTGTGTGTGTGTGGCAGGTTAACAGTTAACATCTATCTTAAAAAAAATGTCTGTGGAAATGTCTTGCGTATTCTCCATCAGCTTCATAAATCTGCCCCATCACCATCCAGCAACGTAAGAAAGACAAAAACTTAAAGGCGAACAACAGCTAGCATTAGTGAACTACTGAGCAAAACTAACGTTATGGTTATGAATAATGTAAGTAATAAGTAATTCATTAATGAGTAACTTGTTAACTCACACTAATTCTAAAATAAATTAAAATGATTCCATGATGTAGATAGTAGTATAGACAGATGGTTTTGTGTCTACATCATGAAATTATTTTTTCTTTTAATTCTAGAATGAGTCTGAGTTAACAAGTTACTTATGTTTTCTTCATGACCATAACATTAGTTTTGCTCAGGAATAGTTCACTAATGCGCCGTCGTTGTTCACCTTTAAGCTTTCTTCTTTCTTACCTTAATAGTTGTGGATAAATTCTTCACGGAGAAAGGTTTATCCTTTGAGGACCTTGTTGGATGAAGATTTGGTGATGGGGCAGATTTTTGAAGCAGGTGGAAAATATGTAGGACATTTCCACAGACATTTTGCCATGGAAAACCATTAACCGGAAGTTCCACAAACTCTACAGAGGGGCACTTCCAGCCATTGTGAAAAAGGTCTACATTACTGCAGAAAATAGCATAATATGAGCCCTTTCATGGCTGAACTAACATATGCATGCAAAATATTTTACCAGTTGCCAGAAAATTCATGTTTCTTTTGTTATGGACCATATACCTGGACGAAAACACTGTATGGAATTACACAGACAGTTGAAATATCATTACAATTGTACTCACCGATGATGTGGTAGCTGACTTGGCGGTTCACAGCAGAACTATCATCGTCTCTGGTGTTGAGGACCGCCACCACTTGCCCAGGAGGATCGCTCTCTTGAACTGATCCAAAATAATGCTGCTCCAGAAATCTTGGTGGATTATCGTTGATGTCTGATACGGCGACAGTGATGGTCGCAGTACTGGACAAAGATACAACCTCCCCTAAATCTGCTGCCACTACTGTGAAAGTATAAGACGGACTGGTTTCATGGTCCAGATCTTTACGGGTGGAAATCCAGCCAGTGTTGGTGTCAATGCTAAAAGTTTCAAGCAAAGAGTCCATTTCTGATTGGAGCAAGTTTCCAAGACTGTACGTAACTTGTCCGTTAGCACCTGAATCAGGATCTACAGCATGAACCTGGATGATTTTTGTCCCAATTGGCATTCCTTCCATCACTGTAGCTTCGTAGTTGTTCGCATCAAAAGCAGGTTTGTTATCGTTCAGATCTAAAACTTTGATCTCGACATCAACTGAAGTTACCGAGTCTAGTTTTGCTTGTTGTACAGTCGCAGCAACTTTAAAATGAAATCCTTTGATAACTTCATGATCCAGCGGTTTATCAAGTTTAATCGCCCCTGTATCTTTCTCTACTACAAACACGCTATCTTGGTTGTTTTCTCCCATCTCTCCATTGACTACGGCAAATGTAACAGGTAGTGAACCATGTCCAGAAGGCAAATTAACATGGACTTTACCAATGACTGAACCTATTGGGGTGTCTTCAGGTGTGTTGAATTGGAACTGTTGCTGAGTAAAAGATGGTATAAACGAATCAGGGGACAGGACATGTATGTATACTGATACTAGTGAATGACGGATTGGGTTTCCACCGTCCACAGCCTTGACGAAAAAAGACAAAACTGAATTTCGCAAATGGCTGAAACTGCCTTTGGTCACCATCCAACCATTATCTGGGTCGATTTCTAAAATGTCCACCACTGGGACATGGGCTTCGCTGTAAAGAGAGTATGTAACTTTGGCGTTTAAACCGGCATCTCTGTCAAAAGCTTGGATTTGTGTCACTAAATGTCCTTTAGCAACATCTGATTTTACTGACGCTCTGTATTCGGTTGCCTGGAAACGTGGTACGCAGTCATTTTCATCCAAAAGAGAGACCTGGACGGTGCAGTAAGAAGCCCGTCCACCGGAGTCTTGGGCGGCAATGGTTAAAATAATGTTCTTGTTGGAAGGGTCTTCACGGTCAAGCTTTTCCAAAGTTAGAATTTGTCCATTTGGGTCAATACTGAACTGGTCTTTTCCAATGTCATTCACAAAGGAGTAAGAGACTTGGCCGTATACTCCTGGGTCTGCATCTGTTGCCTTTACCTAGAAAAAATAAACACATATTAATATTTTATACTATGTATGATAATCAACACAAAACACAGAAAAGCAGAGGTGGGTAAAGTAGCCAGAAATTACACATTTAAAATGACACGATATGATACAACTTTCTTTTGTTTTTGTTTTTTTTAGTTTTTGTTTAGTTTGCCCTTAAAAAACATCAGGATCATACCAAATATACAGAAGTACAACGGAGAATGCAGCCAAAGCCACATTATGTAAGTTACAGTTCAAAATAAGATTTGTAAATCTTTGACAAAGTTGGGCTGACTTTAAAATAGCTTTGAAAACTTTAAAATGATTTACTGCGTAAGTGACAAAGAACTAGATGTACTGCGTTGCCAAATAATCTCATAGGTGACATTTACTCTTTGATGCATGAAATAATTGCCCAAGCACTCTTCAAATGACACAGTCACCAAACACTTTAAATATAAATGCATTGTCTCTTACCTGTATAACTCTAGTTCCCACGGGTGAGTTCTCTCTGATTTCAGCTACATAAAGATTTTGTTCAAATACTGGACTGAACAAATTGGCTCCTAAAACCTTCACGTGAACTTGGGCTGTACTTGTAAAAACTCCATCGGACACGGACACGTTCAGACTATAGACTGGGTCCATCCTTTGCTTACGATGACTTGATAAAGTTATAATCCCCGTTCGTTTGTCCATCACGAAGTTCATTTTCTCATTCCCAGACAAAATGCTGTACTCCAGTTTGTCAAAATCCGAGCTGTCAGCATCTGAAGCTTGGACGCAGGTTACAAAATGTCCTCTTGGAGCCAATTCGTTCACATACGCCTCGTAAAGAAGTTGGTGGAAAACGGGTGGGTTGTCATTCAAATCATTTACGACAACAATGACTGAGACTTCGCTGCTCAAAGGTGGAAAACCATTATCAGTAGCCCTTACGATAAAGTTATACTGCTGGACAAGTTCATGATCGAGCATACGTGCAGTTAAAATCAGTCCGCTACTGCTGTCAATGTGGAAGTAATCAGTGCTATTGTGCTCGTTAGAAAAAATCTGATAGCGTACGATGTTATTTTTCTCTGAATCGCTGTCTGTTGCAATAACCTGAAGCGCAGGGGTCCCAATCATGGCCGATTCAGATAAAATCACTTTGTAAAACATCTTTTGGAAACTAGGAGCGTTATCGTTTACATCGAGCACGATAATATCAACGTCGACTTCAGCTCTGGCGCTAGTCAGATAGTCAGTTGCTCTTACAGTTAAACGGTAAGACGAGGCTTCTTCGTAATCCAAAGCATGAATGACGCTGATCACACCAGTATCAAAACCTATGTCAAATTGAAGAGAAGGGTCACCGTCCACAATAGTATAGATAATATTTTGACCTTCTGGACTGGTTGCGTTGATGCCAAGTATAGGCGTGTGGATTGAAATGTCCTCGTTGACGGATACGGTATAAAAAGGTTTGTCAAAAACTGGCATCGCTTTGTTGACAACAGTTATCGCAAACTCAACGCTTGTGGATAACGGCGGATACCCTCCATCTCGTGCAAAAATCACCATTTGGTATTCCACATTGGATAGATCCGATTCGAATGCACGTTTTAAGCTCAAAGTCCCAGTATGTCGGTTGATTTCGAAATGTCCGTGATCGTCTTTTAAGTAATATGACACTTCGCCGTTGATGCCTTTGTCACCATCAACAGCCATGACTTTAAAAATATGCGATCCAGGTTCAGCTTCCACTTGAACCGCCGCGTAGTACGGCAAACCGACGAAAACTGGCGCATTGTCATTGATGTCTTCCACTTGAACTCTCACCAGAACCCTCGCTACATGCAGCCGGTCATGCTCACGTTTTGCCTCAACTACCAATTCGTAAAACTCTTGCTCTTCACGATCAAAAGGTATTCCCGTAGTCTGGATTACGCCAGAAGTCGGACGAATTCTGAATCTCGTGCCTGCATTCAGTAGTGTGTACTTCAACGGCTCATTCAAACGGTTTCCAATGGCGTTCACAACAGCGACTTTAGTGATATTAGAAACGTTTTCTTGAATTGACGATGTATAGATGCTTTGGGAGAAGCTAAGACCTGAATCCAGCGCTTCACGAACTAGGATAGTCACCAAAGCAGTGCTGGAGAATTTCCCATCTGAAACTTTGACGCTGAATCGGAAACGCTCTTTTGAGAAGTTATTATTTTTTACCACAATGACACCACTCGAAGGTTTTATGGCAAAATGCTCCAATACTCCATCAGTTAACGTGTATGTTAGCTCTGTAGGTACATCTTTGTCTGGATCAATTGCTGAAACTTGTAGCGCTTCAACTCCTACGTACGTTGGTAACAGCAAAACAGCTTCATACGCACTTTGAGTAAACCGCGGCGGCGAATCGTTGGTGTCTATAACTTCAATGGTCACTTCTGTTGGACTGTCCGCTGTCAGTTGTGGTTTTCCGTTGTCCCTTACGTGAACGTGAAAATGAAAGCTTGAAATAGTTTCGTGATCCAAGTTAGCTATAGTTCTTATCGACCCTGTTCCAGAGTCGACGGTGAAAAACATCTTTGCGGTATCTTCAACTATTTGGTAGCTCAAAACAGCGTTCTGGTTGCGATCGGCGTCTGTAGCTTTGATAACCAAGGGAGAATTATCTGAGTTAAGGACGACGCTATTGATTGAAGCAGCCTCGCTAATGCTCCCTCTATAGTGAAGCTGCTGGAATACAGGTTGGTTGTCATTTTCATCCACAACATGAAGTATTACAGTGACATTTGTAGCCATTCCAGCCATGTTGGCAGCTTGGACGATGAGCGTATACGATGGTTTGGTCTCGTAGTCTAGCTGCTTTTGGGTAGTTATTACTCCACTGTACTGGTTGATTTGAAAAACATGATTTGCGTTGCCAAGTTTGATGTTATAAGTTAACGTCGACTGGCTTACGGCATTGATGGTAATTACAGACGTTCCGATAGCGGCGTTTTCCGTGATTTCAGATTGGTATTCCGGTTGTGGGAATTTGGGGCCGGCGTTGTCAGAAAGAGTGACGGCGATCCGGACGACAGTGGTGGTGGAGAGAGGAGGTGAGCCGCTGTCGGTGACCCTGACCGTGAGGACGTAATGACCGATGCTCGATAAATCCAAATCTCGGGCCACGGTGATGATTCCCAAAACAGGCTCGATGTGGAAGGCGTTCCCAGTGTTACCTGTAAAACAAATAAGATAATTATTCAGAGATATCCATGCAGTCATTTCAAATCAACCTATTTGCACACATACTGTATTTTCTGCACTATTAGGCGCTCTGGATTATAAGGCGCACTGTCATTGAATGGTCTATTTTCAAACTTTATAACAAATAAACCGCACCGGACTTTAAACGAAACACAACAGTTGGATGGGTCAGTGGGACTTTGTTTGGTGCGTTCACGGTGACTCTGGGCTTTGTTCAGTTGTGGCGTGTAGGGAGGGTGCTGTCTGGGGCCGCTGGATTGTCGGCGTGTTCGCAGTGACTCAGTTGTTCAGTTGTGTCTAGAAGCGGCACGTTGCACTCGCTTTTTCGGTTCGTTCATCCATTCCGTTCCTCGTCGGCGTGGAGTGATGAGTGTGGCTGTGGGTGTTTTTGGCTGTGTGGTCGCTGTCTGCTCCGTGTGTGTTTGCGTGCGCTGCGGGTAGTGCGGCTTTGTAGTTTACTCAAGTTGTGCTGGGACACCTGAATGGATTTGTGTATAGGGCGCTCTGGATTGCGAGGCGCGCAGTCGTTTTTTGATGGGGATGGAAGTTTATGAGTGCGCCCTATCATGCCGGAAAATACGGTAAGTACAACCAGTATCAATATGCGGGAATCATTTTGCCAACCGACTTCATTTTCAGGAAATGTGTATGAATATGTGTCAATATGTTATTATAAAACGGTGCTATATAAATGTGACCATTTATTGCTAAACATTTTTGGTTCACTTCTCTTGTGAACATAACTTGAAATTACAGAACAATTAGCGACTTAAACTTGTGGGAGACTACTAAACTTAAAGGTAGTGTGTAGGGCTGGGTATCATTAAGAAATTGTCAATGCAATACATACCTCGATACACAGGTCACGATACTATACATATCTCAATACAGTGCACTTTTGGTTTGATACAATATATTTATAATCGATTTGATACGGTTCAATAAAAAATAAATGCTAAATCATGGCTGTGATACTAAAAGTCTTTGTTAAACCACTTCTTGTGCAAAGTTCATATGAAACACAAACATTTTAAACAGTGAAAATGTCAGATGTGTTGCATAAAAGAGTTTCCTATATTGCCAAGAATATACCAAAAAATATTCTTGGCGATATATTGATACAGAAGTCACAGATATCGATACTGTATCATTCACATTAAAGAATACGATATGTCGATATTTTAATATTTTTGCACACCCCTAGTAGGGTATGTAACTTTCTTGAGCACGTCACCTGCATGAGTCCATGGAAATAGAAAGTTAAAACTACTTCGGGACATTCTCCATGGAAATAGATTAGTTTTATCCCATACTGTGGAATATGACAGCCAAAGGGTTAGGGTTAGATATAGTATGAAAACAAAACAAATTACAAGTTTCTTTGCTTAAATTCATTGTTATGGTGCTGCAATAACTAAAAAACAGAGGGAACTACATCGACCATGATCCTTTGCTGCAATCTATATGAAAAAATTGCAGTTCTAAGCACTTTTAAATCTTAGTTCTTTGGATTAAGGCTTGTCAAGGCATTTTAAGAGGACAAAGTAGCATATTCACAATTTTGTTAGTCTCCACAAAATATTGCAATAAATATCGTACAGTGAGATGTGTATCGTGAAAATATCGTACCATGAGATTTGGATATCTTTACATCCCTACAAAACAACACATGAAGAACAAAACAAAGCTTTTATTTTAGTCAGTTTTTGGCAAAAGTTGCAGACTGTGGCTTTGAAAGTTGGAGGACATTTTGAAACTAAAAGTAAATAGTTGTGGGTTACTGTTTGTGCTCTGCTGGTTCTTATGGAGGAAAATAGATTTTGGCCACAACTATTTTAAAAAAGACAGGTAGCTGGTGTCTTTCAGAGAAGTTTTATAATTACCTGCTTCAATGGTGTAGTGCAGCTCAGCGTTCTGGCCTTTGTCCTTGTCTAGAGCAGTGACCTGAACCACAGCGGAGCCCACAGCAGCAGACTCATAGACAGAGCCCTCGTACAGAGCGCTGGTGAAGATGGGCACGTGGTCGTTTATGTCCTCCACCTCCACCAGCACGCGAGCCAGATTCTTCCTGTACGGGAACTCCTGGTCCTTTACCTGGAATGAAACAAAGAAATGTTTAAATACTGAAGAATTTCCAGAATACTGCATAATGTATTTAATTAACAAAGAGGCCAGGAAAGAAAATTCTGATTCATTTTTCAGGGATTGGATCTAATTATGCATTAAAATGTAAAAGCCCTGATTTTAAACTAGTGGGTCAAGAGTATCAGTCTAAATCTTAAATACATTTTAATATAATCAAATACATTTCCAGTTAAAACTTTCAATCTCATCTCTTTTTAATTTCGCTTTACAATTTGGTGCATTATTCATTCATTCACTCAATACCCGGTGATGGTAAACCACTAATGTAGTCACAGCTGCCCTGGAACAGACTCAGAGAAGCGAAGCTGCCAGTCTACACCACTGGACCACTCACCACTTTCATACTAGGAAATGTGGGTGAAGTGTTTTGCCTATAGACACAACAACAGTTTTTACCACTGGCGCCCCACTGTGGCACCTGGAATTCCCTGCGGATTCCCATCCAAGTACTGCCCAGTAGAGCATGGAAACCCGACCAAAGTCCAACGGGATGGGTTTGGACAAATATTTAGAACTGATATTCAGGCTCAGGTTGGACACATCAGCACGTCTACTGTTTCCTGTCGAGAGTAAAACGACTCGCTTTGAGGCTCTGGAGTGTTCAAAAGATCAGAGCAGTGGACTTCTAGTTTAAATTCAAGTCAAATCCGAGTTATTATTATTTGTGAAATGTGGTGCAATACTTCAAATACGTGATTTGTAAAGTATAAAAGATCGGCAATAAAGTCCACAGGTAGTAGTCATTATCACTAATCTGCAGCTTGAACTACTTTAACCTTTTTACTTTTAAAGAACGCCTCAAACTGGATCAACAGCTTGGTTTTGTGGACTGAATGTCATTATTTGCGGAGGACAATTTGGATGAAATGTTGCACTTTAAATTTACATCTTTACAAGAGGTGAGTAATAAAGTCTTCTTGTTGTTTTCGCTAAGTCCCAAGTTTGTATTTTGCCTCTCTGTGTCCGTTAGAGGAACACAAACAATATCCTACTTCTGTCATTAGTAGGATTATGAAAATAGTGTGATTTTAATTGTGTCTGGTTCGGACACAAATACCTTAATGCATATCGGGCTCGGGTCGGACTCAATCACTGCTCTGGACATGGGCTGCATAGCTTCAGTGATATCGCGAGATCAGGTTTTAACGAGGACAAAAGAAACAGAAAAGTAGCAGTACTGTGCGAAGGCCTAAGGGTTTTGAAACGAAAATAAAATAAAAACCTACAGGTGCCATTTTAAGTACATTTCACAATTCAAAATTCATATTTCTATTCATAAGTTAGAATGTTTTATGATTATAAACTTTGAAACCGTGGACTGATCCTGGACGTGGGATGAGAGATTACGAAGAATAGTTTATTGCTATGGTAACATCATTCAAAAACCCATGGATGTCAAAATTAAGCTCAACTCAAGGAAAATGTGCTTTTTCATATTCTGAGTGAAAAGAACCGCTAACGGTGAATTAAACGGCTTTCAAACATCCGCAGAGCAAACGTAGAAGATCCTAACAAACCGTGGACTTTAACAAGTTCAACAACACATCGAGACTCTTGGAGGTTTTCATCTTTTCTGCTGTGAATGGCCCAGGAGTTTCCACCAAGTCATTGTGGATATCGCCAAAGTGAATATTTGTCCAGGTAGTTGGCGATTCCGACCAGAAATTTGGTTTGGTCCACCTTTTGTCGGGGTTGAAAAGGGTGATTTGGCTCCATCGATGCTTATGACCAATTTCTGGTCAAATGGTCTTGGGTCCTCTGCCGTTAGAGTGGATAAATATCCGGGATCAATACCCTTTACGTGCTTTCTCGCTCCGTCCGTCATGTTGAATTAGTGTTTCTTGCCGCCGACCAAAATAATTCCCAGCATGCAACGCGCGCTTTTGTCAACAGTGAAACTCGCCTATAGGAAAATCTGCTTCTTGTCCTCCACATCATCACATTCTAGACTCTGAAAAATAAAAATACCGCACACTCTTACCATGACGGTGAGGATATGCTGAGCGCAGGCCTCGTGGTCCAGTCTCTGTGTGGTGTAGATGGTTCCCTGGGTGGGGTTGATCCTGAAGAGGCGGAGGCTGCTGGGGTCGATGGCGCTCTGGAGGGAGTAGGTCAGCTTGTGGTGCTCGTCGCGGTCGGACGCCAGAACCTGCACCACCTCCGAGTCAGGGGGCGTGTCCTCCGAGATGGTGATGTCGTAGGTCGGCTGGGAGAAGACCGGAGCGTTGTCGTTGTTGTCCATGACAGTGATGTGCACCTGAGAAGAATGAATGAGTCACAGGATGGAATTAAACCTTTCTATCTTCATGGAGACCAACGTGAGCCAAGTTACAGGTCAGATCTGTGGAGAGGTGATCCCACTTGTCAGAATATTTGTTTTTCTAGTTATTTTTGACCAATAATACTACCTGTAATTGAATAAATGTAAGGTAGAGCTGTTTAATGTTATACTGCAGAACCTTCAAAGCAGAGCAATGACCTATCCATAGAAATATAAGGTGCACCTTTAACGTTATGACATTTACTTCTGCTTCTATGATTGATGAAACTGCAACTTTTCTGATCTACTCTGTGAAGATTTTCCACACTATGACATTTAACTTATCTAATTCATTTTTTGGAATCACATCTATTTTTATTGCTCAAAACGTTGGCCTTATGGTATCACCTGCTCGTTCCCATGGAGATACTGTGGAACATTCCAGGCAAGGTGACAACTTGTTACGGAAACTGGTAAATGGTCTTTGCAGTGCACCCCAAACATGTGACGATTTGTATTTTTGAGGTGAAATACCAAAGAAGCAGAACCTAACTTCAGCTTTATATTATGATACAATGGTAATCACAAACTTAAAGGTACAGTTCGGAATTTTGGACATAGGACGTCATTTCCTAGTGAGCCAGAGTGTTGGAGACGTGTGGAGACACTTTTTGAAATATTCCATCCAGTAATTGTATTTGCAGAGGTCGCTGGTGCTAGGCTAGTGCATGTCAATGGCCATAGTTAGCCTGTCACTAAAAACAGTCTTACCCACTCCACTAAACACCCGAAACAAAACAAATATAATGCCAGAGTGTCAATGTGAATGTTTGTGTTTATAGAATAATTTTAGAAGTAAAACCAACCTTGCATTTGAAGGATTTATGTCTGAGCAGCAGCAGTGACTTGTACTTCCTGACAGAAAGTTTGGCAGCGGCGGACTGATATGTGAAAAAATAGTCCCTCAACATGTGACGATTCACGCGATGCAAGGTTAGATTTAACCTAGTTCAAACATTATTCTATCAACACAGACATTTATATAGACAGTCTGGTGTAATAATAGTTGTGCTTCGAGTGCTTTGTGGAGTAGTTAAGACAGTTTTTAGTGTTTTAGTGTCTCCAAACGTCTCCAACACTCCAATGAGGTCCTATGTCCAAAATTCAAAACCAACCGGTTTTCAAATTCTTTTGTGCATGTTGGGTACAGTTTTATGAAAGTTTTACACTGTAATTTGTTTGTTTGGTGTTTGTTTGTGTTTGGGTGTGCTCTGAGATGCTGCTAATGAATTGCCTTATGGGATCAATAAAGTTTTCTGAATCTGAATCTGAATTCTGAACTGTCCTTTAACTGTCCTTTTTACTGTCCTTTAGCCAATGAAAAAATCTAGTAAAGACTCCAATCAATAGGGATTGATAAATAGACATGAACATTTTAGATTAGATTAGAACATTAGACATAGACTTTATTTTATAAAGTAATATAATAATTTGGCTTTAAGTATCTGCCAATTCCCAATATCAACCGATACTAGTGCATGGATTGAAAACACAAACGGCATGAGGTAAAAATTATCCGAATGTGTTTTGTAACTGCAGAACAGCTTTGCAAAAATATAAGTTTAATATTTTCAGTCATTTTGGGAAAACATTCGTGAATAAATCGTCTTATTATTACACCAGTCTCTAGACCAAAATGGGATATCTGCTGAACTCATATCTTAGAAGCTGAAATGAAACACCAAAATTTTCAATATCCGATACCAGTATTGTATCAGTGCATCCTTAGTGAAAAAGAAAAATGAATAAATAAAGAGTATGAACTGTATTTTCTGCATGATATCTGTTCTAATGGAAAAAAAAACAAACATCAACCATCTATTTTTGCGATTTCTCTGCTTAAACTGACTCCAGGCCTGAGCAGCTGTGTATCAGAAGCACAGACACAGACGCAGGCTCTGGGACAGGACCTGGGGGGCATCCAATAAAAACACTTCGAAGCTCGTCCAGGGCAGAAGTCTAAATTTGGGCCAACGAGACCCCCGCTGCCCCGCCATCTGCCCCCCCCAGGTCCCACAGGTGAGTCTGTCTCGGCGCAGACAGGTGAGTGGAAAATGGGCTATTGGGCCAGCTTCCTCTTCTGCCAAACGGACAAAGATAAACCTACCTCTGAATGTGATGGTATTGGTAAAGGAAAGAAGCTATAGACTCAAATTAATTAAAGATCCAATTTACAGAAAGTGCTCCACTCTGTTTTAAAACTATTTACACCTTCACCAGAATAATTTGGATTTCCCGTCTCTACTAAATTAAATTACGTTTACACTGAAATGAATCATTGTATCAATTTGCGATTTGTGTCCAGACATGTTGTTTCTGTGTCTGCAAGATTTCCCTATGCACACAGCTTTGAGCATATTTGTTTACATTTTACAGAAATGAAACTTAAAACCACATGGCTTATTTGCATAAACTAAGCGCTCAAAAACCTTGCTCGCTCCTTGTGCCCTGATGAGGTTCAACTTCTGTCGAACTAAAGGACATGACTCAGTGGAATATGAGTGTTCCTTCTGTGACAGAGGGGTGTTCTGCTGATGGTGAGTCTGTTCGTCACGTCACATGGGCGGTAAAAACAAGGAAGTGGAGCACCGTGTCTGAAGATGCAGCAGCTGATTTCGAGCCGAGGAAGATGGCAAGTGTGAAAACAGTCTTTTCGTGGACCGTGTACTTGCAAGTAGTTCTAGCTCTGCTGTTTCCTGTTTGTCTATGGTTTGTTCAAACTGTTTTACACAATAGCGTCACATGACTGATGTCACGAACCCAGCGAATCAGGAAGGCGCAAGTCACAGTGACATGGTCCAATAAGGACGCAACTAGAGCTCCTACATCAGTGTATCAAAGTTTTCAGGTGTCCACACAGTGCCGGATCAGATCTGTACTCAGATGAATTCGTGGAAGCTGGCGGCACCAGATTGTTCCGTCTCTGGAACCATTTTCCATCTGATTAGTGTGGATGTGCACTGCATCCACAACGAAAATGACTCAACTACGTACAAGTGTGGATTTCTCATATATTTAGCTAACATCATGCTCTTTTAGAAAAACCCGTTCGCCACCTGAAATATTCAACATGGCGGCCATTTTTCAAGATGGCCGACCAAACAACTGATTTCACATAAGTTTGAGCTAAAAGACAATGAGTCATCATGTTCTTAATCAAAATTAATGGAATAAATCACAAATTTGCAAATATATACATATACAGTAATGCAATGTCAGGTATTCAACAACATTTTACACCAAAATATATTTAATTTTGCACAAAATTCATAAAATTTTCTCGCAATTTGAAACCAAAAGTATCCCAATAACCATTTGGAAAGTACAAATAAAAACACGAGCAAAATTAAAATAAAATGCAACATACTGACTTAGGTTAATTTCAGAAATAGAGCCATTAAAATAGAACCATTCATAATGCTGTATGTGCTTAAGAACTATCAAAAAAAACACGTTTTTTTTTTTTTTTTTTTCATTTTTGTTAAACTTTGCTTATTGACCTTAATCACGGCAATTGCAACCACAAAGCTGTGTGCAATTTAAACCCAGACAAAACCATTTACACTGACCACAACAGTCTCCTTTACAACCACATTTGGTCAATTGTTGACAGCTTTGACTAATATATACTACTACTATATATACTATACTAATATATACTACTACTATATATACTATACTAATATATACTACTACTATATATACTATACTAATATATACTACTACTATATATACTGTACTAATATATATACTACTATATATATAATATATATACTACTACTATATATACTATACTAATATATACTATAGTATATATATATACTATACTACTATATATACTATATATACTACTATATATACTATACTAATATATACTACTACTATATATACTGTACTAATATATACTACTACTATATATATACTATATAAATACTACTACTATATATATACTGTACTAATATATACTACTATATATATACTGTACTATATATACTACTACTATATACTGTACTAATATATACTACTATATACTATACTATATATATACTACTATATATACTGTACTAATATATACTACTACTATATATACTGTACTAATATATACTACTACTATATATACTATACTAATATATACTATATATATATACTACTACTATATATACTAATATATACTACTACTATATATGTATAATATATATATACTACTATATATATAATATATACTACTACTATATATACTATACTAATATACTACTACTATATATACTATACTAAATATATACTACTATATACTATACTATATACTACTACTATATATACTGTACTAATATATACTACTATATATACTACTAATATATACTACTACTATATATACTGTACTAATATATACTACTACTATATATACTATATAATATATACTACTACTATATATACTGTACTAATATACTACTACTATATATACTACTATATATACTATACTATATATACTATACTATATACTATACTATATATACTACTATATACTATATATATATACTACTACTATATATGTACTAATATATACTACTATATACTATACTATATACTACTATATATACTGTACTATATATACTACTACTATATATACTACTATATACTATATATATATGTACTAATATATACTACTATATATACTATACTAATATATACTACTACTATATATACTGTACTAATATATATACTACTATATATACTATACTATATACTACTACTATATATACTGTACTAATATATACTACTACTATATATACTATACTAATATATACTACTACTGTATATACTACTATATATACTACTACTATATATACTACTATATACTACTACTATATACTGTACTAATATATACTACTATATATACTGTACTAATATATACTACTACTATATATATACTAATATATACTACTGTATATATACTACTATATATACTACTATATATATACTATACTACTACTACTATATATACTGTACTAATATATACTACTATATATACTATACTATATATACTATATATATACTGTACTAATATATACTACTACTATATATACTGTACTAATATATACTACTACTATATATATACTATACTAATATATACTACTACTATATATACTATACTATATATACTACTATATATATACTACTATATATACTATACTATATACTATACTATATACTACTATATATACTATATACTATACTATATATACTATATATACTACTATATATACTACTACTATATATATACTGTACTAATATATACTACTATATATACTATACTATATATACTATACTAATATATACTACTACTATATATACTGTACTAATATATACTACTACTATATATACTATACTAATAAATACTACTACTATATATACTGTACTAATATATACTACTACTATATATACTATACTATACTACTACTATATATACTATACTAATATATACTACTACTATATATACTATACTAATATATACTACTACTATATATACTATACTAATATATACTACTACTATATATACTATACTAATATATACTACTACTATATATACTATACTAATATATACTACTACTATATATACTATACTAATATATACTACTACTATATATACTATACTAATATATACTACTACTATATATACTATACTAATATATACTACTACTATATATACTGTACTAATATATACTACTACTATATATACTACTAATATATACTACTACTATATACTATACTACTATATACTACTATATATACTGTACTAATATATACTACTACTATATATACTGTACTAATATATACTACTATATATACTATACTAATATATACTACTACTATATATACTATACTAATATATGCTACTACCATATATACTATACTAATATTTACTACTATACTATACTATACTAATATATACTACTACTACATATACTATCCTAATATATACTACTATACTTCTATACTATACTAATATATACTACTATATACTACTAATATATTATACCCACTATTCTGTGGGTTGCGTGAATAATGAGTTGGAGACACTGATGCTTGTACCACAAACTGAACGATTATTTCAACGACCAGCTCCACTATAAGGTAAAAGGTAGCTGTTCACTTGATAGCTTCATGACATCACTAGGTGTTAAAGAGCATTTTGAGCTTTACAATAAAATATTTTGTATGCAGTATTTCTTCTTCTCTCCAATATTTAATAAAACATAGAGAAGTGAGAGTGGCATTGAACATATTGATTTGAGTTTTTTCTAATAATGACACATGCTTTTGTCTCGGGAAGTTGGAAATAGAAGTAGACGGGAGTAGAAAAAGTTTTACCTGCAAAGTTTTTTATATAAACGTATGGTATTTTTAATTTAATATTGACATTTGGGAAAGCACTTAATAACCCAGGCACTCCAAGTATTAGCTCTAGAGAGGAAGTATAATTAGAAAGACTTTATTTACATGGCCAAGTAAACAAGTTTTCATCTGAACTTACATAAGCAAATCTTTTATGTAATCCCTAATGAAGGCCATATGTAAGTGCTCTTCTAAATTTGATCTTAATTTCCGAGAGCACTCTTTATCTGTTTACAAATTGGACTACGGTGGGTGATTTTGTGAAAAGTTCGTAACACAAACCAGATTACAATTTTGACTTTTTCCATGATTCACGTATTTAAATATTTATCTATGGCATTTAAGCGCTAAATCAAGTCATCTGCTTCTTCTGAAAGTTCATACTTCACTGTGATTGGGTAAATCCACCTGTCACTCATTCAGAGTCCCATAGAAGTTGAAGAATAGGAGAAGAAGGTGGAGAAAGGTGTTTTTAAGAATCCGTGTATCATTTGTTCAATTGTTTTTCAAAATAAATAAAAAAATAAGAAAACAACAACAAAAAAAACTATAAGTTTCTTTACTATTTGTTTCCCAAACCAAAATGAAAAAACGGATAACGATTCAGTTTATGGAGTTTTCGATTTTGTGTTTAAAAGAATAATGGAAAAAACGGATAACGTCTGTTTTGCATTTCCGTGACTTGAACTGCTATGCCAGACTGATCCCAGGACTGAACCAGGACTAAACCAGGACTAAACCAGGACTGAACCCAGGACTAACCAGGACTACCAGGACTACCAGGACTACAGGACTACAGGACCCAGGACTAAACCAGGACTACACCAGGACTAAACCCAGGACTACCCAGGACTACACCAGGACTACACCAGGACTACACCAGGACTACACCAGGACTAAACCAGGTCTAAACCAGGACTAAACCAGGACTGCGTGTCAGGATGGGCCCAGAGGTGCACCCGTGTAGACCATCAGGTGACCACAGGAGAAAGGACCGGCCCAGAGCTCCACGCCCCACGGGGCTATGTGCAAACGTTGCTTGTTCGTGCTTTGCAGAAACCCTGCTCCACAGGCTCACAGTTCTCCCTCTCAAGTCCAATTCTGCCCTGGTTTAGCCCTGGTGTAGACCTGGTTTAGACCTGGTTTAGACCTGGTGTAGTCCTGGTTTAGTCCTGGTTTATTCCTGGTTTAGTCCTGGTTCATTTCTGGATTAGACCTGGTTTAGTCCTGGTGTAGTCCTGGTTTAGTCCTGGTTTAGTCCTGGTTTAGTCCTGGTTTAGTCCTGGTTTAGTCCTGGTTTAGTCCTGGTTCAATCGTGGTTCATTTCCGGCATCGCACTTTAAGTCACAAAAACGGGAAACGGCTGTTATTTGTTTTTTCCATTATTCATTTAAACAGAAAATCGAAAACTGAAAAAACAAAAAAAACAAAAAAACAAATCATTATCTGTTTTTTCATTTTGGTTTTGGAGACAAATAATGAAGAAAATAGTTGTTTTTTTCATTTTCTTATTTTTTACTCTTTAAGTACATGTTTTAACAGCTACTTAAATACATTTACTTCGGTACATTGTTGCATGTAATATTTGTACTTTTACTTCAGTATATGTACTTTTACTTACAAAATGAAGTGTGTGCAGTACCTGTGTAGCAGCTGTATTGGTCCCATCGGTGGCTGTGACTGTGAGGTTGTAGAAGGACCTCTGCTCTGCGTCCAGCGGCCGAGCGATCACGAGCGTCCCCACGGCTTTGTCCACGTCAAACGCACTGTCCGTGTTCCCCCCTGTGGCACAAACAGGAACTACAGTCAGACGCCTTTCACAATAAAAGCACAATCAAGAGAATGTGGGGCACGGGACAATATTAGACTATTTTCTGATGTTATAATGTTTCCTCATCACAAACAGACCTGGAGTTGTGTTTTGTTTAACACACAAACCTTTTCTTCTCTCAAACTGAAAACACAGGAATACAGGAAGTGCTCCACTGTGTTTTTAAACTCCATACATCTTCACTAGAATCATTTTGATGATTTCAGTGCTGGAATTGAAAAATCTCTAACTGAAGTTTAAATGTAGCTGTTAATTCGAAAACTACCACTTTATGAGACGACAAAGGAGAAATTCAATGTGAGAATCGGACAAACGTTTATTTAGGTTGAAAGTGAAAACGAAAAGGGAGGAGCTAATACATTTCAGAGTAGTTTCATTGTAGTTAGCTCCTCCCTTCAGGCAGTGAATTTCTCATTTTCCCATGTTGAATTTTCATTGCCAAGTTGAATTTCTCCATTGATTTTGATTTTTGATTCTACCTGGACGACTGAAGGACTCTACACATGCCACTTTATGACATCACAAGGTGGAAAAGAGCATTTTGAACTTCGAAGACAGACACACTAATAATAAAGTGTTAATCAGACGTGTGATTGAAAAAAAAAACAAAAAAAAAAACACAACTTCAGGTCTGTTTTTGAGGCGGTTTTAAAAGCTCACAAGAGTCAATTTTGCAAAATATACGACACTGAAATCACTTTGTTTTGTTAAGGATTTGCCCACACAAATTGCAGTAGCAAAGCTTTATGCGTGTAATGGAAAAGGATAATTTCACTTTGATTAATTTGAGCTTACATAAAAGTCATTAAATCTTTTTCTAGCTTTTGTTTACTGAGACAATTAATTGAAGAGATAACTTTTCATAATGACATCACTTCACTTCACACACAACCTATAATAAGAAATGATTAATTAGTCACAGATTTTTGTGTTTTGACATTTTTAGAAAACATTACAAAGAGAATATAAGGATTTTGAGGCAGGTAACGTTGGATAATGAAATAAAACAGTTCAAATCAAAATGAGCACAGCAAAATAAAACATGTGAGCGGCCATGCAAGTCCAGCTTATGAAAAAAAACACACACACAATATAATGTAGCACGTTCAAGAGATCTAAGGTAAAAAGGAACCAAATGATAAGAGTGAAATCATAAAAACATACATCTAGTAAGTAAGTAAGTAAGTAAGCAAGTAAGTCTTTATTTATATAGCGCTTTCACAGACATTTTCTGTCCCCAAAGACGCTTTACACAGCATTATTCAGCACTATTCATTCAGCATTCATTCATACAGCATTATTCATTCACTCTAAACCCTGATGATGGTAAGCTACTATTGTAGGGGCTCACTGACAGAGGCGCGGCTGCCATGCCACTCGGCGCCATCGGTCCCTCCGACCACCACCAGCACTCACACACACACCACTTTCATACTAGGCAATGTGGGTGAAGTGTCTTGCCTAAGGACACAATGATTGAATTGATTGTATTTAACTGACCATGACTATCAACTGTTTATGGAGACCTATGTAGCATGTTTTGGGTTGATGGGGGAAACCGGAGCACCCGGAGGAAACCCATAAAAGAAACATGCAAACTCCACACAGAAAGGCTGGGCGACCCGGGGATCGAACCCAGAACCTTCTTGCTGTGAAAGTGCTAGCACTCAGCCACCGTGCCGCCATCTAAAAAATTATCTACGCAAAAACAATATATACAATAAAACATGTTATTGACATTAACAAAATTCATAATCACCTACAGAACATACTGAACCAGGACTAAAACAGGACTAAATAAGGTCTAAACCAGGTCTAAACCAGGACTAAACCAGGATTAAACCAGGTCTAAACCAGGTGTAAACCAGATCTAAACCAGGACTAAACCAGGTCTAAACCAGGACTAAACCAGGATTAAACCAGGTCTAAACCAGGACTAAACCAGGACTAAAGCAGGACTAAACCAGGAATAAAGCAGGACTAAACCAGGTCTAAACCAGGACTAAACCAGGATTAAACCAGGACTAAACCAGGTCTAAACCAGGACTAAACCAGGACTAAACCAGGTCTAAACCAGGACTAAACCAGGATTAAACCAGGACTAAACCAGGTCTAAACCAGGACTAAACCAGGACTAAACCAGGATAAACCAGAGCTGAACCAGGACTAAACCAGGACGAAACCAGGACAAAACCAACTCTAAACCAGGACTAAAGCAGGACTAAACCAGGTCTAAACCAGGTCTAAACCAGGACTAAACCAGGACTAAACCAGGTCTAAACCAGAGCTGAACCAGGACTACACCAGGACTAAACTACACCTCTGGTAAGTAGCATCCCTCCACCAGAAAAGTTGCATAGTGCAGCTTTAACCTATATTATGCCTAAATACAGTATGGCTTGTAGTAGTAGTAGTAGTAGTAGTAGTAGTAGTAGTAGTAGTAGTATTCGGTCATAGACTACAAACCTATGGATCATGACCGAAAGAGTTTAGGCTGAAGTAAAAAGTACTTCTAACGCCAAAGTTTGCTTTAGTTTGCATTTTCAATTTCACTTCCTTTGACTTACTGTAAATATAAAAGTCAAACTATCTTTATGATGGAGAGAACGTCGTGTGTTGGGGCTGTGTTGTCGTGACAGGAGGTTTAGACATGGTTCAGTGAGTTGGAGCTTGTGCGGGTAAGTGCCCCATTAGCCTGTTTCTGTGATGGTGTAGACGCAGCACCATTAACCCCTCAGGAATGTGCTGTGTGTTCAGGTGGAGCCCATTCAAACCAATGACAGGGAAGTGCTTCACCATTCCTCCCAATTAACCTTGGATTCAATGTCATCCATTACAGAAAAGAAGCACAAAAACAGGCCGGGGCAAGGGGCTAAACCAGGACAGAGTCAAGGTTAAGATGGAACAAGACTAAGGTTTGTTGTGTTTTTTTAATCTAAAATATAAAGGTAAGAAAGTAAAAGCTGTAAATCAGATCTAAACAATGGACAAAATCAGGATTTATTGGTACAAAACCTAAGATAAGTTTAAATAAGAGGACCTTTACTACTTCTTTTCACAATGGAGATATTTCAGAGTTGCAACACAAAGTAAAAGAAAAGCAGAAAAATACTAATATCCAGTCAAAAATCAGGCCAAATATTTAAAATTACAGTATTTGTTTGGACTATAAGGCACAGCGGATTTTTAAGGAACGATATCAATAATGTTGAATTCTCTCGTCTATTTTCATACATAAGGTGCACTGGATTATAAGGCACATTAAGTGAAACAAACTGACGACACTTGAGACTGATCCTTAGTCCAGGCGTCCATTATCCATCTGCAGATCATGGTGTAATTCACCCGGCGTTGCCTCCCTGTCTTGGTGAATGTGGATTATGAATGTAAATGTGTGTGGATAATTTAAGTTTCTATTATTTCCTACAAGGACGACTCAAAAATACATTTAGTAATAATGTGTTTAATGCAGCTTTGCGCACATTTGTTTACATTTTACAGAGACAAAACTTAAATCCACATGGCTTGTTTGCATAAACTATAAGCACTGAAAACAAACAAACAAAAACAAAAAAACCCAGGTAGCTCCTTGTGTGCTGATGCGGTTCAGCTTCTGTCAGACAAAAGGACACGAGTCTCAAAAATCAACAGTGCATCTTATAATCTGGTACACCTTATGTATTAATTCTGGTTGTGTTTACTGACCTCAAACCAATTTTATGTGGTACATGCCGCTCAAAAATCTGTCAAAATGTTTTAGAATGACTTTGATAAGCTACAAAGGTGCACCACTTGATGGATTGTCAGAGCATTATGTCTACCATAGTCAGGAGCCTGGAGGAGTAAATGAGCCATGTGGTTTTAAGTTTCATTTCTGTTAAATGTAAACAAATGAGAGCAAAGCTGCATTTATTACTCAATGTACATTTGAGTCCTCCTCATACAAAAAATAAATAAATAAATAACTTAAATGATCCACCCACATTCACATTCATAATCCACATTCACCAAGACACAGAGGTAACGGGGGGTGAATTACACCATGATCTGCCAATGGATCGTGGACGCCTGGACTAAGGATCAGTCTCAAGTGTCGTCCGTTTGTTTCACTTAATGCCTTTTATAATCCAGTGCACCTTATAGTCCAAAAAATACAGTACTTTTTGTTGCAACCCCAAGCCAGGATAAATTAGAGACGATTGAGTAAGGTGCAATCAGCATTTAAAGGTATTACACAACATCGACTTTTGTGTGTGAAGAACTAAGCCTAAATATGCAGGTTTTATTCATTAAATGTGTAAATGAAACAAAACACAACTCTAAGTCTGTTTGTTTGAGGAGGAGACATTATAACATAGATCAGACAATAGTGTAATATGGGCCTTTTAAAGAGGCCAGTGATGCAGGTGTAGCTCTGATTAAAAAGACAGTAATTTAATTTGCTCTAATTTGCTGCATTATGTTTAAGATTAAGAACTGCTTGACATTCAGTGTCTCTCTCGTGTCTTTAGGTTAATTGCAATTAACATTTCAAGTAAACAACATGGAGTCACATATACTATAAACTAGACTTATTTTGATGTTGCATTGGCTTCTCTCAACCTATTTCAGAGTAGGATTATTCTATTTTAAAAACGACTTAAAACTTTCAGTATACCAAGCAACGATTTCACAAAACAACAGTTATAAACATAAATGATAACAGCTTGGATATAAATACACTTTAAATCCTTGACATGCTTCTCAAACAGCTCATTCCCTTTAAGCGCTAAAGAACAGAGATAGACCGATATATTGATTCTACTGTTTCACCGATATATGGGGCCGATATTTTTACTTTTTAGCAAATGGGCTATCGGCCTTAAATCTCCAGCACAGGCCGATCTGTGCACTATTTTCAACAACTCACCCTTATGTAACAGATAATACTCCCTACAACTGTACAACAATTCACCCTTATGTAACAGGTTTTAAAGTGCATTTATATCCAAACCTCCTCAGTTGTAGGGAGTATTATCTGTTACATAAGTGTGACTTGTTGTATAGTTGTAGGGAGTATTATCTGTTACATAAGGGTGAGTTGTTGCACAATTGTAGGGAGTATTATCTGTTACATAAGGGTGACTTGTTGTACAGTTGTAGGGAGTATTATCTGTTACATAAGGGTGAGTTGTACATTTGTAGGGAGTATTATCTGTTCCATAAGGGTGAGTTGTTGCACAGTTGTAGGGAGTATTATCTGTTCCATAAGGGTGAGTTGTTGCACAGTTGTAGGGAGTATTATCTGTTCCATAAAGGTGAGTTGTTGTACAGTTGTAGGGAGTATTATCTGTCACATGAAGGTGAGTTGTTGTACAGTTGTAGGGAGTATTATCTGTTACCTAAGGGTGAGTTGTTACACAGTTGTAGGGAGTATTATCTGTTACATTAGGGTGAATTATAACAGAGAGACCAATATATTGGTTCACCGATATATGGGACCGATATTTGGCCTTTTTAGCGTATGGGCTATACTGCTTATTTTGAATTTATTATTACATTTGTATTTTAAGTCTAATTACAAGTCTAAAAATTACACACAGAGGTTTATTTTAACACTCTTAAAGGTTTATAATTTACAAAAAAAGGGCTGTGGGTGATTTTGTAGTAAATTAAAATGACAGAATTTGAGAAAGATAAAGAAAATCAGCCCAAAAATATCGGCAGGACTTATAAGGATTTGAACTTAACCATGATAAAAAACAAGATAAAAAATATACTTACAAAAATAAAAAGAACAACAACATCAACGTCATCAACATTTATAAGCAAAAAGCACATTTGACACAAGCATGAAGTGAACGAGGAACAGACGTAATGGAGAAAAATAAAGCACTGTATAAAAAGGACAGAAGGACAGAAGGATGTAGGAAATGAGGAAGTAGGAAGTGAGATACCTTCGGAGGAGCAGTTCCTGCCACAAGCGTTGTGCAGAATACAGAACATCTCACGGAAAAAACGGGGCCCTTCAGGATCGCAGCGGTAGGACACAAAATACACAGTGAGAGAAGAGATAGGAGATAGGATGTAGGAAGTAAAGGGTAGGAGACATTATTGAGGAGAGGGAGGAGAGAAGGAAGAGACAGAGGCTACAGGTCCAGTTGACGGTTTTGGTAGGTTGAAGGTTACAGCATTTATTCTAAAATCCATATATTCATCCACTTTTTTTTAATAATTGAAAGAGGCATTGAAATCAACCGAGGTCTGAGTTTCTATAGGTTCAAAGCAAACATCCAAACATCCATTTATATTGAAAAAGGAGCATTCATATTGTACTGAATAGGAAATGTATCTGGAAATGAATATTACTATTTAATATTCATTGGTAAATATTAAAAGTGCACCGCGCAGCCTTTCTTCCGGAAGGTTCATTATCTGCTTGTTTTTTATATGGAGGTGTTATTGTTTTGTCTGGAATGTTTCATAGTTTGGCATTAAACCTTTCTGTCACCATGGAGACCAAACCAGCTACAGGTCAGATCTGTGGAGAAGCGACCCCGCTCATAGTAAGAATGCCTGTTTTGGTCGATAGTTTTGAGATATAAAACCACCTGTAATTGAAAAAAAAAAAAAAAAAAAAAAAACGCAAGGTAAAGCTGTTACATAAGGTTGTGTTGTTGTACAGTTGTAGGGAGTATTATCTGTTACATAAAGGTGAGTAGTTGTACAGTTGTAGGGAGTATTATCTGTTACATAAATGTGACTTGTTGTACAATTGTAGGGAGTATTATCTGTTACATAAGAGTGAGTTTTTGTACAGTTGTAGGGAGCATTATCTGTTACGTAAGAGTGGGTTGCTGTACCATTGTAAGGAGTATTATCTGTTACATAAGGATTAGTTGTTGTACAGTTGTAGGGAGTATTATCTGTTACATAAGGGTGAGTTATTGTAAAGTTGTAGGGAGTATTATCTGTTACACAAGGGTGAGATGTTGTACAGTTGTAGGGAGTATTACCTGTTACATAAAGGTGAGTAGCTGTACAGTTGTAGGGAGTATTATCTGTTACATAAATGTGACTTGTTGTACAATTGTAGAGAGTATTATCTGTTACATAAGAGTGAGTTTTTGTACAGTTGTAGGGAGTATTATCTGTTACATAAGAGTGAGTTTTTGTACAGTTGTAGGGAGTATTATCTGTTACATAAGAGTGAGTTTTTGTACAGTTGTAGGGAGTATTATCTGTTATATAGTGGTGAGTTGTTGTATAGTTGTAGGGAGTATTATCTGTTGCTGCTTTTTTGATATCTTTGAGCTATAAAACCTATAGAGTAGAGCTGTTTAATGTCATACTGCGGAACAGTCCAGGCAGAGCAATGACATCTCCATAGCAGGTGACGGACCCCCAACCGAAAAGTTCCACAGTGCACCTTTAAGGTCACGTAGGCTTGAACCAGTGATGCCCAGACTCCATTCATTTGTGGAGATCTCCCACAGTGCATCAGAGTCGTCAGCGCGTTGCCACATTCAGGCTCAGCTTAGTGCAGTGGGCATGGCCTAATCTGGTTAAGCCTTTCAGTGACTGTGAGTTTGACGGATACAAAAGGATTTCACTCAGAAAAACTGTCACAGGGTCTTTGAACGTGCCGCTATAAACCCCAGTCCGCTCTGAACTAATAAGAGTTATAAATAAACGCTAAAAGGATTTAAGGAACGGGTGAATATAAAGAGAGGAAACCCGGTCACCACGAGAGTACAGTATATTCACTTTTTAGTAACAGCCTTTTTAGAGCACCTTACATGATATGATTTTCTGCTTTAAAAAAAAAAAAAAAAAAAAGGCTTAAAGTTGCACTGTGTCATTTTTCTGGTGGATGGTCTGGCCCATCAGCTGCTTGTTTCTATGGATATGCCATTGCTCTACCTGGAATGTTCCATGGTTTGACATTAAAGGGCCACTAAATACCAAAATCTGCTTTTTTTTCTACTGATTATCTTTGTAAATGGGTCTAAAACAGAAGTGTATACCAATCCCTGGCCTCATTTTGGCATTTTGGGTCAAAGCTGTGTCTGTTACGGCCTCTTTATGATCAACTATGGCCAGGACATTTGAATATCCAGGTTGGACTAACGGCGCCAGTGAGTCAGATGCAGATGATTATGTGACGAGCGCAGACACTGGCGTTTACGGGCGGTACGTGAGGAGCCTCTCTCAACCCCGCCCCGACCTGGCACCGTCGGGCAACCCCATGTCCCGCCGTGTCTGGAGAAAAGGAAAACGGTGTGATCCGAGCACAAATGTTTACTCTGTTTCAAAGTCCAAAGCGAACCGGTCCATGCCATGTTGGATTGTTGTGGCTGTCAGACGGCTGTCAATCATCACCCGCCCCACACCCACTCCCCCCAACCTGCAGCCCACTCTGATGGATTTTTAGATCTTGCTTAGGGGCAGAGTAAAGCTTCGGAAGGGTGTTTAATGGCTCTTTAAACAGCTCTACCTTACATTTATTCAATTACAGGTGGTTTTATAACTAAAAAAATACCAACCCCCCCCCCAAAAAAAACAACATTCTGACTGTGAGTGAGGTTGCCTAACTTAGTCTGATTTGGTCTCCATGAAGATAGAAAGGTTTAATGCCGTACTGTAAAACATTCCAGACAATGTCATAACATCTCCATGAAGAAACGCATTTGACGGATCCTCCACCAGAAAAGTTACACGATGCACCTTTAACTACACAGTTTTTTTAACCGTATATTTGTGGTTTTCAGATTCTATAACGAGATGATCTCATAGTCCCAGATAGTGAAGAAGAGACAGTTTTCCCTTTTGATTGTACTTTGTCATGAAATATCTTACAGGTAAATTAACTATTAATTAAATGTTTGACCCAAGATCCAAGACGCCCTCCATTTCGCCTCCATCCTGGTCCAATGTGATCATCCAATCAGATTAGTTTTTGTTCAGTGACATGTGTGAAACAAAGGAGCTAATTGGTCACATATTGTTTACAATCAAAACATTTCTCTAACCTCAGATGAACAGAGTTTAGTGCTTTCAGTTCCCTGTGAATTTTATTTATTTTTTCCTTTATTTTTTCCATTACAGATGGACAATTATGGCCATCTGGAAAATTTCTGGATTCAATTTCGCTGTGATCTTTTAAATATGATGATAGATTGTTTAAAATATCACAATGGACCCACACTGGGTGCAGTGGTTTATGTATGGAGGCCTGTCACGATAACAAATAATGAAGCACAATAAATGATAAACAATAATAACAATAATACTGAAACTACTTTTTACCAATATAATCCCAGTAAACCATTATTAAATCTACAGTATCACTAAAAGGCATGAACTACAACAAATAAATAGCTGAAAGAACCTAAATTTTTCCATAAAATTTACTTGATGAATCCAATCCAATCTTGGTAAAATGACAAAAAATCTGCCCACTATTACTTAAAAATGTATGAATGTTTCACAGTATGTGTTACGGCCCCAGGCCTTGGTTCTAATTTGTTTGTGTGATTTTTTGACAAGTTCTCTTGATTCCTGCTGCAGGAGCCCTGGTCCGTGATTGGTGGGGGAGGTCGACGCCCACCTCACCTGCAGCCACTGCCCCCTGTTTAAGGAGATGACCAGCACCTGTTCGGGGCTGCTGGCCTTGGTGGCCAGTCTGCCATTTAGTGTTTAGTTTAGTTCTGTTTTGTGCCTTTTTTGATTTGGTCACTCGATTCTGTTTGTGGGTTTATGTGGTTTAATTTGGGGAACACTCGTTTTTGTGTAAGCCTGCGTGACCCCTTTTGTGGCACAAAACCTGTTGTCTGTAGTTTTGTTTCTTAGTTTAGGTTGTTTTCTGTATATTTTTAGTCTTTTGTTAATTTACCTTTACATTTCTGTTAATTAAACATTATTTAATTTATTCCATTTTACATCTTGGTTTTATTTTTTGTTACTTCCCTCACCCCAACGAGCTGGGTCATTAGAGCATGGCATTAAATCTTTCTATCTTCATGGAAACCAAACCAGACCTGGTTACAGGTCAGATCTGTGGAACAAAGTGAAGCTTCGCACAGTCAGAATGCCTGTTTTTCTGGGTATTTCTTAGCAGTAAAACCATCTGTAACTGAAAAAAAGATGCAATGTAGAGCTGTTTAATGTCATACTGTGGAACATTCGAGGCAGAGTAATGACATATCCATAGAAACAAGCAGAAAAGTTACACAGTGCACCTTGTAGGTATTGTAGGCTTGAACCAGTGATGTCCAGACCTCATTCATTTGTCGAGATCTTCCATAGTGCATCACATTCGTTAAAATGTTGTGTTGAACGATAAATCAGTATATTAATAATTGTGACAGGTACACCCACTGCAACGGTCTGCTACATTGTCCTAATGTTATTTGTTGTGAGTGGACAGTCAAAGCTCTCAACAGTGCGTTTGGTGTATCGCAGTTTTATAGCAGCTTTAGAAAATAAACCCGGTGTATAAAAAGAAAAAGGCTGTAGACTGTAGTCAGTGTAATGTCGAGTTATTGTATAAAATGACCATGTGTCAAACTGTGAAAGTGGAACCAGCCTCTGCCTGAATCTTGACGCTTGACACGCTGTTATTATAGAAGTTTAGAGCATCATTACCTGCAAAAGTGCCATTTAAAAAAGCTGGGGTTTAGAAAAAGAACTCAAATATACTGTGTGTATGCAGTGTTCTTTTTGTTCGCGTTTCATACTTATTATATATGTAAGAATAAATGCACCTTCATTAGCTTTAAAGGTGCGCTGTGTAACTTTTCTGGTGGAGGGTCCATCACCTGCTTGTTTGTTTCTGTGGAGATGTTATTTCTTAACCTGGAATGTTCCACAGTGTGACATTAAACAGCTCTACCTTAGTCCCCATCCACACTAGTACGAATTGAAGTCATTTTCGTTGTGGATGCAGTGTTCGTCCACACTAATCCGATGGAAAACCAGCTCCCACAAATTCATCTGAGTACAGATCTGATCCTGCACTGTGTGGACGCCTGAAAACGCTGATACACTGAAGTAGGAGCTCTAGAAGCCATCCTTATACACACATCATGAATTTCAGACTTCCGGTCATTGTGCAGTGCATACTGGGAAGGATTTTCCGAAAAAGTGAGCATCAAATCGCCATGTTTGTTTTCCCAGTGGGATGTGTCTATTGTAAAAGTCGATCTTTTCAAGTCTTTTGAACCATTTCACTTTTGTTTCTGGTTCTGATATTGTCATATTTTAGTTATGGGATTCAGACATCGTGATTGTGTGGTTGTTGGATCCTAACAGCGGAAAACGGCTAGAGAAATGGGCTTCGGAAGTTAAAAAGCTCCATAAATGCAAAAGGAAATCAGATGTGTGTGAATCTATGTGAAACCTCAGTTCAAACCGCTTCCCTTCCCAGCGGAATTGAAAAATAGTGAAAGGAGAAGGCGATGGACAGTACTGGTACACAAGAAGGACCAAAAAGGAAACCTTTGGCTGTCTAAGAAATCATCCAGAGTTTGCAGCGAACATTTTGTATGTGGAGCGCTATCAAAGCAAGATCCCGATCCACACAATTATGATGTCTGAATCCCAAAACTAAAATCTGACAATATCAGAACCAGAAACAAAAGCGATATGGTTCAAAAGACTTGAAAAGACTGGCTTTGTCAATAGACGCATCTCACTGGAAAATAAAAGATGGTGGTAACAGATCCATGGGTTTGATGCTCACTTTTTCTAAAAATCCTTCCCAGTATGCATTGTGCGATGACCTGAAGTCCGAAATTCATGATGCATGTATTTGACCACGTCACTATGGTAAGCAACTATGTGCCTTCTTGATTTGTGTCATTGGTCATGTGACGCTAGAAACAACGTGTCTGGACTCAAATCTTTTCCAATACGATGATTCTGTAAACATAGTCTTACATTTATTCGATTACCAGTGGTTTTGTAGCTAAAAAATCACTAGAAAAACAAGCATTCTGACTGTGAGCTGGGCTGCCTCTCCACAGATCTGACCTGTAACTTCTGAGAGCAGTCTGTTTTGGTTTCTGTGGAGATAGAAATGTTTAATACCATACTGTGAAACATTCCAGACAAAGCAATAACATTTCCATGAAGTCAAGCATGTGGCAGACCTTCCAGTAGAAACCACGTTGTTCTGAAAATTCTATATTTGCTGAAAACGACGTATGAACATGTTTTATAAGCTTCATTTTGACTTTTGGTACTGTTTGCCCTTTGTTCTCCACACTAAGTCACAGTCAGCGTGCGTCCCGCTAATGAAACTACTGCACATCGCGTCAGGTTTGTCAAGTTGCTGTGTACAGTTGAGGATCATGTTTTTATATATTTATAGAGAATTGGTCCAATCAGGTTCATTTGGTCTTCTGATAATTTAAGTTATTAGGTTCTTTTTTCAGACCAAGAGTTTGTTTTCATACCTGACAGTTTGTTCTGCTCCCTGTGGTCTTCCTCAGAGTCTTGTGATGTTGCTGTGACATGTCCACTCAGCTGATTTATACAGGTTTTGGTGCTGTCTTCCTACCACTTCCTCAGGATCTCAGGAATGTGAGAGTAAAAAAAAAAAAAAACCCTCATCCCAGGTTATAGTCCTGTGTGCACCTTACTGCATTTCGATTGCCTCTTTAATCCAGCAACGATGTTTGTCGTCCTGTGTCCCAGTGATATTTGCTCCGTCCCAGTCCAGAATGTGGTTCTTTCTTTTACAGTGGTCAGAAATGGCTGATTTGAGTTGTTCCTGTTCTGCTTTGTGTTTTGTTGCTTGTGTTTCGCCTTTTTTTGTGGACTGAACTCCCTCCCTGTTTCCCCTATGTTTGTTTTATTGCAGGACATGCAGAGTATTCCGTATATGACATTACATTTATGCTCCGGTTCTATTTTATCTTTTGGGTGGACACACTTGGGATTTTGTCCTGAGGAATTGGGACTGCATATGGCGCTGTCGTCCTGCCTCCACCGGTAGGAAGACGGCGCCAAAACCTGGTTAAATCCGTTGACCGGACACGTCACAGCAACATCATGTGACCACTCTGAAGAAGACCAAAGGGAGCAGTCGAAACATTCAAAATTTATGGAAAATTGTCTTGTGGGAGCGTGGATGACGTAGGCTTGTGGACAGAATATTACTCCTAAACGTTATGTATGGAGGGTTCGAATAGGGCCCGGGAGAGATCACTAAATTACTCAAACATGCACGGATGACAGCTACAACATCTTCAGGCGTGTTTTTGGTGAAGGAACTACGTTAAAACACGACAGAAAGCTCAAAAAATAAAACAGATTTTCCATAATACTCCATAATACCTGTTCTATTTCTCACCGCGCTTGTGTTTTCTTGGATGTTTTAGTTGTCAGCTGAGATACAAACTTTGATTAACCTCTGTCAGACCCCAATCCTAAACTCTGACCGTCAATTTAAAACTGGTCAAAACATTTCACCAGCTCCTCGGCTCTGGCTGTGTGCGTGACCGGCTGACCCGAGATTACAATATACCAGGATGATGCCCTGTCTGTCTGGAGCATCTGTGCCCCCGCCTGTCCATTTTGTCCTCATTTTGTGCCTCTGTTTGATGTATTTTTTTACTCTTTGGTGTTGAAGGAGACCACGAAGGAGGGAGAATAGGGGATGTTGTCTGTTGCACAATCTTTCAACCCTTTGAGGTCATTTTTGTTTGATATTCCTCTATACAAAACAAATGTTGGATCTTGGAGGTTTCGTAACATAGCTCAAGAAGTTTTCTGGTCAAATCCACAATATGTTTACTAAAGTAGTGACTATTTACTTCTTATTAATTTTTGGAACATATAAAGTTAAAGGTGCACTGCGTAACTTTTCAGGTTCAGGGTCCGGCACCATGGAGATGCCACTGCTTTGCCTTGAATGTTCCACAGTATGTGATTAAACTTATCTAAGGCTACGTTCAGACTGCAGCCTGAAGTGACCCAAATCAGATTTTTTTGGCCCCTACGTGACCTGTATCTGATCTTTTAATGACAGTCTGAACGACACAGATCCGACCTTTTCAAATGTGACCCAGGCCACTTGGATATGTGCTCCTAAAACCCTACATATTCGATCTTTTGACATGCGACTTCAGTCTGAACGACCAGGTCACATTAATCCCACCTACACGTCACAAATGTACACAAACGTTCTTCTCGTCATGCGAAAATTGTGTCTGAACTCCGTGTCAGATCAATCACTCCACTCTTGCCTGTGACTCCGCATCCACACGTTCCTTTCTATGGACGTCGCTGTCGCTGTCCCACAAAACACCACGGCCAAAAACCTCGTCCTTCTCCTTCTCAATCTCCTCCTTAAAACAAATAAACTGTACATGTTCTGGCTTTGGTACGACAACAACTTTAAAATCTCCAGGTGCTGAATCCTAGCGTCCATGTTTAGGCGACTTCTGTAAACACTGAGCACGCTCGCTCCGTGTGATGCCTTCATGTCCTCCAAAGTGCCCGTGGGACACTTTTGGGCCGTTTAAAGTTCACACTGTAGATCACATCCAAGCCGCATTTAATTGGAAATGTGAACGGCCTCGCAAATAAGTTGGATTTTCACAAAAAAATCCAAATTGTGTATTAAGCCCTGCAGTCTGAACGTAGCCTAAGATGCAATTATAGGTGTTTTTATTGCACAAAAATGCATTTAAAAACATGCACTCTGACTGTGAGCGGGGTCGCCTCTTCACAGATCTCACCTGTCTCCTGCCTGTCTCTATGGTGACTTATGAATTAAATGTCATACTTAGGAACATTGAAGGCATAGCAATATCTTGTCTATGCAAACAAACAACTGGCAACTGCCCTCTACCAAAAAAGTTCCATCATGCACCATTACCAGTTCGGCTCATGAAAATGTTCTGTATTTGCCAATATTCCACGTTATATTATTAACTAATATTTCTTTCATTTATTGAATTACATGTGTTTTAATTGCAAAAAAGAAGAAGAAATTTCCATGGAGATTTACAATTTTTGTCATTTTGTTGAACGTTCCAAGCAAAACAACAACATCTCCACGAAGCTAAGAAGGTTTTGGACCCACCACCTAAAAACTTACATAGGCTAGTTAATACCAAGGGGCACTATCTTTCATTTAATCAATTATACATGTGTTTTTATTGCAAGATTGCAAAAAAACAAAAAACAAAACAAAAAAAACTACCTTGTTTCCATGGAGATTGGAGCTGAAAAAGTTTCATACTTGTTTTATTCTATTCTGTGGAACATTCATGAACATAAGAAGTTTTGAACCCACCACTGAAAAACGTACATTGTGGCGCTATAATATTTTCTTAATTTCTAGTTAGAGATGCTGTCGCCATAGTGACTGATGGGCGGAGCTTATAGACTCATGCAACGCTGCCGCAAACAACCTCAGCTGCAAAACCTCGGACGCCACCTTCAGCCCAAAAAGCTCAAAACGCACGCTCATGCAAAGTCAAACCCACGCTGCAGCGCCACCCACAGGCCACTTACTGAACGACGGACAGCGCAGGGGGCGGGGCTTACCTGTGATGTCAAACCACAGAGGGGGAGTGCTGTGCTGCAGGGAGACCACGCCCACAATCTCGGAGACTTTATCGTTCTCCATGACGGTGAAGTTGTAGAAGGTTTCGTCAAAAAGCAGAGGGGAGGGGAGGGCGGCGGGGCGGCGGATCCACTCGATGTGAAGACGGGCCGTGGACGACTTCTGAGGGCGGCCGTTATCTGTGGCTTTAATCTGGGAAAAGAAGAGAGAAAGAACTGGTTACAAGGTAGTTTTTTGTTTGGTTGTTTTTTTGGGTATGCCTGGAATGTTCCACAGTATGACATTAAACAGCTCTGCCTTACACTTATTCAATTGCAGATGATTTTATAGCTCAAATATACCTAGAAAAACAGGCATTCTGACTGTGAGCGGGGTCGCCTCGCCACAGATCTGACCTGTAATAAAGGCTACGTTCAGACTGCAGCCTGAAGTGACCCAAATCTGACTTTTTACCCCTGTTCTCCTGTATCTGATCTTTTAATGACAGTCTGAACAAAAAGATCTAATTTTTTCGAATGCGACCCAGGCCACTTGGATATGTGCTCCTAAAACTGATACATATCCAATCTTTTGACATGCGACTTCAGTCTGAACGGTCAGGTCACATTCATCCCACCTACACGTTAGACTCTGCGTCTCGTCAATGGAGGGAAAGCGAGGTTAGCGAGATTATTAATATTTGGGGGGGTCGCTGTATTCAGGACAAATTGAAGGGGTCTTAATTGGAACCGGGCGGATTTTGAAATGATTGCCAAAGAAATGTCCGAGCGCAGCTACAGACTGTCCTGGCTCCAATGTCAACGAAAAATAGCGAGCCTGCGAGCCAAAAACAAGGAGGATAAAGACTCAAACAAATGAAGCGCCCATGGACGTGTAACCTGCCCATTTTACCAAAAACTGGACCATATTTTGGGAGACAATCTCAATGTTTAGGCGACTTCCATAAACACTGAGCATGCTCGCTGTGCGTGACATCGTTGTGTCCTCCAGTGCTCATGCGGGACACTTTTGGGGTGTTTAAAGTTCACACTGGAGATCACATACAAGTCACATTTAATAGGAAATGTGAACAGCCTCACAAAAAAATCCAAATTGAGCATTAAGCCCTGCAGTCTGAACACGGCCTAAGTCTGGTTTGGTCTCCATGAAGATAGAAAGGTTTAATACCATACTGTGAAACATTTCCAACAAAGCAATAACATCTCCATGGAGAAAAGCATTTGACGGACCTTTCACGAGAAAAGTTACACAGCACACCTTTAATGTTTTACAAAACCAAGAACAAATTTTAGAGACCAGTAGAAGACAATGTAGGATTTAGGGTGCGTCCTGGTTTGGGCCCTAATATCGATTTGGTTTGGTCCCATTCTAGTCCAGGTTTAGTTTCAGTTTTAGTATTGGAAATCCAAGAGTGATATACATTGCCATATTATTTGGGGTTGATTTTTAGTTTGATGAAGAGATGTAGTCAAAAACGAAGAGGAGGGCTAATGAAAATATTGGTATAAAGATGCTGATTTTAGAGCAGTTAGGAGACAGAAGACCTCGAGGGAGATCAATGAGGAGATTTATGGATGTAATCAAAGAGAACATGAACTTAATTGACGTGAATTGGCGAGAGAGGATGCAGAAGCCCGGGTTAGAAATCAGCAATTTACAATAATGGAGGCGATTACAGCTGTGTAACTTAAGAAGATGGAACAGAACATACTTGCAATTAAAGGTCCACTATCTAACATCTAAGGTGGAAGGTCTGCCTCTGGCTTGTCTCCATGGAGATGTTATTTCTTTGCATGACATGTTCCACAGTCTATGGCATTAAACATATCTGCCAAGCATTAATTTAATTACAATAGGTGTTTTATAGCTCAATGTTACCTTGAAAAACGTGAATTCTAACCATGTGCTTGCTTTTCCATAGATCTGACCATTAACTTGTAGAATAATCAAGACAAAGCAGTAACATCCCCAAGGAAACAAGCAGGTGGCAGACCCTCTCTTAAAATGTTACGCAGTGCACCTTTAAAGATCCTATATTACGCAAAATTGACTCTTTTGAGTAGTGTTGGGAGTAACGTGTTATAAAAGTAACTAATTACTGTAATCCATTGCTTTTTACTGTAACGCAGTAATGTTCGGCATTACAGGGAAAAAAGTGGTAATATTTTGCTCAGTACAAATGTCACTAACGTGCATTACAATGTTTTTTTTTTACCTGGATTGAAGTGGTGGGTTTTTCCTTTTTCTTCATACAAATTTGCTAAAATCACCGCGATATCAGCAGCGGTGAAATGTCAGAGGTACAGCTGTGTAAAGCGTGATCGCGAGCGAAAGGACCGGCGCAGAATTCTGCACACGACGGGGCTAAACGCTGACACCCGATTGCTTCTAGTTCTAGTCCAAGATTAGTCTTGGTTTAGTCCTGGTTCAGCTCTGGTTTAGACCTGATTTTAGTCCTGGTTTAGTCCTGGTTTAGACCTGGTTTAGACCTGGTTTAGTTTTGGTTTAGTCCTGGTTTAGTCTTGGTTCAGCTCTGGTTTATTCCTGATTTTAGTCCTGGTTTAGATCTGGTTTAGTCCTGGTTTAGTCCTGGTTTAGTCCTGGTTTAGTCCTGGTTTAGTCCTGGTTTAGTCCTGGTTTAGTCCTGATTTTAGTCTTGGTTTAGTCCTGATTTTAGTCTTGGTTTAGTCCTGGTTCAGCTCTGGTTTAGACCTGATTTTAGTCCTGGTTTAGTCTTGGTTTAGACCTGGTTTAGTTTTGGTTTAAGTCCTGGTTTAGTCTTGGTTCAGCTCTGGTTTATTCCTGATTTTAGTCCTAGTTCAGTTCTGGTTTAGACCTGATTGTAGTCCTGGTTTAGTCCTGGTTTAGACCTGGTTTAGTTTTGGTTTAGTCCTTGTTTAGTCTTGGTTCAGCTCTGGTTTATTCCTGATTTTAGTCCTAGTTCAGTTCTGGTTTAGTCCTGGTTTAGATCTGGTTTAGTCCTGGTTTAGTCCTGGTTTAGTCCTGGTGTAGACCTGGTTTAGACCTGGTTTAGACCTGGTTTAGACCTGGTTTAGACCTGGTTTAGACCTGGTTTATTCCTACCATTGCAATGCAATAGTCGTGCTTTACATTTTAAATGCAGTGATATTGTAATGTAACAAATTACTTTGAAATGACAGTAATAAATAATAAATAATGCATGACAGTTTTGAAGTAACTTGCCCAACAGTGCTTGTGAGCTTTAAGACAAGTTAGAATATTGTTACCTCAAGAAAACACAACTCCAGGTATGTTTTTGATGAGGAAACAGCATTCTAACAGACCTCAGATCAGAAAATAGCGTAATATTTATATTATTGAGTAGTTCATACCGTGAGAATATCGTAGCTCCCAGCGGTAAAAGCCTTTCTGGATGACACCACTGCCGTTTTGGGGTCGATGAAGAACTTGCCGTCCTCGTTGCCGTCGACGATGCTGTAGGACAGATCTGCGTTGGGGCCCTCGTCTCGATCGTGGGCAAACACGCGATAAATGGGCTCCCCTTTCTTCTTCCTGTCCCGCTCCGGTAGTTTGACCTGGTACACCTTCTCTGAAAACGTGGGCTTGTTGTCGTTCTCGTCGATCACTTGGACCATCACCCAAACCGTGGTCTGTCTTGGGTTTGGACCCCCGTCGGAAACAACCACCTGGAGACAGAAATGTGACAGTTTTGGTAAGGTATAACAGCACAATAATCATGGCAGCAGGAGTAGAACAATAGCGCCATCTGCAGTCCAACTTCTTCAGAACCAAGGTGTGGTACGCCCTCTCAAGTTTAGTTGTATAGCACAATTTGTACACAAAGTAATTCAGAGTGCTTTACAGAATAAGAAATACATTAAAATCACAATACAAACAAATCAAAACATAAATAATCATCATGAAATTAAAGAGAGAGGGAGACATTAAATGAGCGAGAACAGTGCGGAATGAAAACTGAACTCTTTCAGTCATACGCAGATAAACAGAACTGTTTTGAGTCACAGATGTTCATTTCGTCTTCTTATGTAAGAAGTTAAATTCTTGGGTTCTTTTTAAAGACAATACAGTAAAGTGGTATGAAAACAAACTCTTGGTCTGAAAAAAAGAACGTTAATAACATACAGTTTCAGTGAAAAAAGAACCTAATGACATAAATTATTGGAAGACCAAATGAACCTCATTGGACTAATACATTAAAGTGTATTTACAGTAACAAAGTGAACACACTTGTCTGTATTGTCTTTAAAAATAACCTAAGAAATAAAATAAAAAAAGCCTGGAGTCAAAGTAGAGTCTGTCTCACATGTTCATGAAGACTGTTCTAGGTTTTAGCTGCATGAATCTGAAACTCTGACTCTCCGTGTTTAGTCGTGACTCTGGGCACCAGCAGGAGGCCGGTCCTTGAGCTCCTCAGAGTGTGAGATGGTTCATATGAAAGTAACATGTCACATGTCACATGTCGGTGCTAGGACATGGAGAGACGGCTTTAAAGTCTCTTCTCTGAGGCACAGGAAGCCATTCTGATTGAGACTGGTGGGAGTGTTTGTGGATCTCGATGGCTTCCTTGATCCAACCATGGGGTACAGTTCTGAAGAAGTGGGACTGCAGATGATGCTGCTGTCTTACTGCAAAAGTCTTATCTTACGCAAAATGGATTCTTGTGAGCTTTAAGTCATGGTATAATGCTGTTACCTCCTGTTGTGATTTGTGTTTTGTTTCATTCACAGTCTTTGAGTAAGTCTTTGTTTTTACTATGTCTACGTCTCCAAAGCTCAAAATGCTCTGTTCCACCTTGTAATGTCATGAAGCGGTATTTTTCAAGTTCACAGCTCAGTTCAGAAGAGACTAGCAAGGTGGAAGAGAGTATTTTCTTGTTGAGTGAAGAAAGCCTAAATATGCAGGATTTAACTTGTGTGAATTAAACAAAACACAACTCCAGGTATTGGAACAGAAAATTACCCTTACAGGAAAAAGTGAAAATGGGTAAGGTAAGGTCAGGCCCTGACGAAGACCATCTTGCTGGTCGAAACGCGTTGGCGTCCCTTCATGTAATAAAGGACGTTTAATATACTCAGTCGGAGTGCCTCAGGGTTTGTACTTTACCCATTTTCACTTTTTCATAATTTTCTGTTCCAACAGCACTTGTCTTACTGTTATTTTTTTACTCTTTTAAGACCCAGTGAAGCGCTCTACCTCTCTTGTTTTATCTAACAACTCCAGGTATGTTTGTGAAGAGGAAACCTTATATCACACATCATAAAGTAGCATAATATGTGCCCTTTCAATCAACTGACCAGACGTGTCACAACTACCTCACGTGACACTTAAGAATCAAAGGCATTGTCAGTACCGAAGCCCTAACAAACCTAATCGGCCTAACAAGAAGGAAGAAGGAGTATTATAATTCAGTTCAAATAATTATAGCAGTGGATGAGTCTTTCTTGTTCTCTTTTGTTAATAATGAATAAACTGTAAGTGTGACTCCATTGTGAGGGCCGGTCCACCTCAGTCCTTCGTAATTCTCTTCAAGTCTTTCATCGCGTCTGTAATGAAAACAGAATGTCTTGTTCCTCGCTGACAGCTCATTCATTAGTCCTTTCCATAGTTCAGTCTGTTCTACTCTCCTGCAGTTTTCAATTATCGCACTCTTAAAACCACATGCTTTCCTCGTATCTTTACCTAAGTCGATGAATCACGCTAGGTTATAAATGGGCACCGAGCTCATAGCAATGCATAGTCTAACAGAATGGAGCACTACTTAGATCATGGTCTTCTAACTGTTATCGATATCTTTCTTGTCACATGGTACAGAATGTAAGAAAGATCATGTTAAACTTATAAAAGGAAAAGCAAAACAACAAAACAAAACAAAAACAAATTGGATGAAATTGTGATGGCTATGCTCTCGGTAAGATTGTTTGAGCGGCGGTTGATTGGCAGAAATTCGCCCATACAGAGCATTCACAAAACCAAAGGGCCCTTGGGCAAGACACTTCACTGTTTGGGGCTGGTATAAAAACTCCAAAAGAGAACTGCTGTACGACTTGTGCCACACACGCAGAAAGCAATATGTGGGTAAGTTAAAATGACTTAAATTAAGAACATTTTCTGTATTTGAGTAGATTCAGCTTGACAAGTAAAATGATCTACCAGTGGTACAAGTTTGTTTTTCTTCATTCATGGAACTTATGGTTTTGGTTTCTTTTTTTTTTTTTCTTATCTTAAAGGGCCCATCTCATGCAAAATCAACTTTTCAGAGGTTTCTACCTTCTAAGAGTGATGTGTGGGCCTTGTATATCTCACCAAAGTGTTTTTTTTACATAGATTCGGCATTTTTTAAACAAATTGCAGCTTATTTCTGCCACCCTCCCACGCGACGATGAACTAAAGCTGCTACCACGATGATGTGGCAGATACACCTATGACGCATTTGATGTAGCAGAAATGCTTCGCACCCGCCCCCCTCCCCGCTCTCTGCTTCTGTGGGCATCGGCTGACAATTCCCACATGAACACCTAAACAAAAGCAACAGCATAAGCTCGTTGTTCTACACTGCATTGAACACGATATAATAAGTTTATCTACTAGCATTTATTAATACTTTACAAATCAGTAATGTTCAGCTGATGTGGACGCGGTGCTTGAGCTTCGTGCACCTCAAAGTTCTCGTCTGATTCCAAGTCCAACACATGCGGCTGAACGCGCTGTATCTCCATGATGAATAAAAGTTGATTCCTACAGCTATCAGACCGCTAAACGAGTTGTGTGGCTGCAGGGCTGTACACTTACGCCACAGGGTCACGCCTGTCTCCCCCTCCCTCCCTGAGATGGTGGAGGAAGGACGGCTCTCAGAGCCTACGTCACGTTTGGAGGGCGGAGCCTGTGCTTTCTCAGGACGGGCGGGGGGAGGAGCAATAGTCGGCCTTTCATAGTTCCTGGTCTGTGACTGTCTCCAAGAAATCAGTAAGATTTCAGAACTATTGTGTAATGGATGTTCCAAAACCCAAATTGTGCTTGTTTATGTGCAGAAGATACAATGTGAAAAGAGTTATTTTACATGAGATGGGCCCTTTAAGTTTAGCTGGATGTATTTTCATATTTTAACCACAAAAAGTCTTGTTCCATTGCTAGATCATTTTACTTGCCAAGTGAAAGCGACTCATATCATAATAAAACTTTCTTATTTCAAGCCATCTTAACTTGGCTCAGTTTTTGCAGTGCAGTCACCCTAGAAGTTAACTCAAATTAAATGTGCTAGTCTCAACCATTTCAGCAGTTCTCACACCATAAAGAAAAGTACTTTTTAGTCTTCAGTCCAGATCTAAAATGCAGTGTGTTAGAAAGTACAGATACAGTGGAAAATTTACTAGTCACAAAATTAAGACCTGATTTAACAAAGAAAAAACAATGAAGCCCATGGCTATAATTTGTCACTTGGGAAAGTCAAGAAACAACTTTTTTTTTGTTTTTGAAGTGCAGCCACCCTTGAAGTTTATGGTAATCATCTGTGGAAGAAGAAGAAGAGGGCCCAAAACAAGCTCCTGTCCACCCTGGAGAACCCCCAGCACCCCTGCACAGCACCATCACCGGACAGGAGAGCACATTCGGGAGACGCTGTTGTCCACATGCCATACGTTGATACAACGCAAGAAGAATGCAAGAAGATGGACTGCTGTATCGCTATGTTTATATCACTGTTGGTGCCGATGAACTTTGAATTTCCTTCGGGATCAGTAAAGTATGGTTAAATGGTCGGAGAGTGTGTTGCCTTGAGTCTGATGATACGATACATATGCACATCATGATTCAATATAACACAGTATAGGTGAGTTTCATTGTTGACAAAAGAGCGCGTTGCATGCTGGGAATTATTTTGGTTTTCCAGCAAGAAACACTAATTCAACATGACGGACGGAGCGAGAAAGCACGTAAAGGGTATTGATCCTGGTTATTTATCCACTCTAACGGCAGAGGACCCAAGACCATTTGACCAGAAATTGGTCATAAGCATCGACGGAGCCAAATCACCCTTTTCAACCCCGACAAAAGGTGGACCAAACCAAATTTCTGGTCAGAATCATCAACTACCTGGACAAATATTCACTTGGGCGATATCCACAATGACTTGGTGGAAACTCCTGGGCCATTCACAGCAGAAAAGATGAAAACCTCCAAGAGTCTCGATGTGTTGTTGAACTTGTTGGAGTCCACGGTTTGTTAGGATCTTCTACGTTTGCTCTGTGAATGTTTGAAAGCCATTTAATTCACCGTTAGTGGTTCTTTTCACTCAGAATACGAAAAGACATTTTCCTTCTTCCGTGCTTCTATTTGTGCATCCGATAATGCAGCAGGAATTTACCATTATCGGGGATAAATACGCGAGGTTACACACTGTGTTTGACGCTACCGTGTTTCTTGCCTCCGACCAAACTATTTCCCAGCATGCAACGCGGGCTTTTAATAACAATGACGTCAGCTGAAACTCGCCAATATCCCAATACTAAAACAATGGATGATATACTGCGATTTAAGACAGTCAACTACACCTTCAAGACAACACAACTGTTTGAAATATAATTGTGTAAATTTTTTAAATCATGAGAACAATGAATGTAACTAATGAATTATTGTGAAAAATTGGTGGCACAGTGGCTGAGTGGCTAGC